TCGAAATTAAGCTTCTTGTCAATCCTGAGTTGTATCCATATGACTTGCATTTCCACAGTGAGTTCGTTTCTGCTGTGAATATGCATTTTACTATCAATATTGATGAAAATGGCGGTTATCCGGTTACTTGGTGTGACAAACCTTGTCGAGACGGTACTGGCAATTACTTTTGTTGGGGTGTTCATCGTTTTTGGAAAAAGGGTGCAGGCAGTTCACCAATAGACGATCCTCATAAATCGTTTGCTCTCAAAGGAGATGAAGTCAGCATAAGACCGGTTGTGTACTACAGGATAGACCAAAGGTAACTTCCATCTTCCAATGAACGATTTGGCATTTTAAGCATCTACTGATCTACATTCCCCATCTACATTCCTCGTTTATTTTAGAGAACTTCTATTTTTGAATGTAAGCAGATCAGACAGACTCCATTTAATCGGTGTTGGATATGCTACCAAAACTTTGTATGGACTTTATTTAAGTATTTAGATACGTATAAAAAATGGTCCAAAAAGTGATAACGTGATCTACAGTAATACCCCGATTTACCGCAGAGTTTGGGAGAAAGGAAATGGCCGTGGTAAATCGGGGTTTGCGGTAAATTGGGGTGCGGTAAATCGGGGGGGGGGGGGGGGGTTAAATCGGGGTGCGGTAAATTGGGGTTTTATTGTTTTTGAACGACCTCTTAAACGAGTGGGTTTCTAAATTCACTTTCCAATATCACTATGATCGGTTAATTTTGCACAGTTGGCTCATATAAAAGTCGATTTACAAAATTTGTTTGCACTATCTATGAGAGCAGTGAATGTGGTCCAAGATAGTATTCAGGGTTTGTCTGTAGAGAAATTAACGATGAGAGAGGACTTAGAAAGGTTTCATTTCAGATCTTAATGGCTGTAATAATAAAAATGTCACTTTATTAAGAAATAAAACACTTTCTTCACAAGTTTAAATTATTATATCATACCGTTTCGCACAGTTAAGAAAATTAACATTTCATTGACGTTTTGTGATGTGAATTTTGGTCTCATATGTAGTTTGCATACTTTTTTCTGATAAAATATTCCTGAGATGATGGTTAAACTATCTTTAAAAGTAATAAACAATATTTAATAATGTACACGTTCAATGTTCATTGGTTTATGAGTTATTTTGAACTGTGTCGACGAATATTGTGTGCAATCTGCATCCATTTTCTCATTAAAACAGTCATAAAATAAAAAATGAAGTACATTTAGATTTAGATATCACAATTTTTGGATGCATTCGTGATTCTCTTACTACAATAATGTAATATTTAGCTAATCTATCGAACCCAGGGAGTCGAAATCGGAACCATGGCTCCAAAAGTTCAAGTTCCAATGGATTTTGGGGTGAAGTACCTCGGATCTCCCTCCCACAGTAACCTAAAGTTTCGTCTTCAAGACGGTGAAGAGATTCCTGCTAACTCTGTAATTATATCCTACAACAGTCCTGTTATAGACTCTCTCACCACGGACCTACTCCAAACTTCAATTGATGTTGATGACTTTGGGAAAGAGGTTGTGCAGGATTTTGTGACTTCTTGTTATTCGGGGGAACTTAAGAATATTTCAAAGGACACTTTACGGGAAATGAACAAGATGTCCAACGTGTTTGAGGTAGTCTGGATAGCTGTTAGATGTGTTACATTCTTCAAGACACTTGTTGATGAACTTGATACTGAAGATTATGAAGACCAACTGTACGTTTTCGAGGAGGCTATGTACATGCTCTTGACTTTGAAAAAGAAAAGTTTCATAGACATGGTTGTTAAGAAGTTTTCGACTGAGATAGAAAGATGTGATCGGTTTTTCGTCCACCAATATCTGAGTGACTTCTCTACTCGAAGTGAAAAAAATCTAAGTGTTATAATTGAGATAGTCCAAAGACGTAAAAACATATTGATGGACGTTCTTATCGACAATTCCGAGCGAAACCCATCGAATATCGATGCCAATAGCAGATTCTTGCTGAAAAATATGAGCTTTTCTACCTGCAATAATACACACAAATCTATGTACCAGAAATTGGTTGGATGTTTATCTGCCATTGAATCACCATCAAAGGAGGACTACATGCTAATGGTTGAATTATTTCGAAGATCTGATGTAACATTATCAACTCTTCAATATGAGAATGAAGCCTCAAGGCTTCGCAATCTTTTTCTTGGACACCGATCGATTATAGATAGTAAAAGCTTTCAGGAGCTTTTAAACTTCTTACTAAGTTCTCCTTTGGTTACAAATAGCCACATTTTCCTTGACGGTGTTTATTCTTGGTTGCTCGAATTTCAGAATAAAGATTACTCCCCTCACGAGACATTTCAGATTGAATCATTCACTGAACAGTTGAGGGTAGGAATGTTGAGTCGAGGGTGGCATCCCCTTTCTTCAGTCTGCTTAAATAATTATAGGGATAACCAGGGCACATTAATGCTAATGGAGAGTTTGAAGAATGACACAACTGGTTTAACCGATGATACTGTTTATGAACGTTTATGCTCAGTGTCTGATTATAGCCCCAGTGAGTTTTTTGTGAAAGATCATGATATAATATTCAACGTCAAAGCACAATCCTCAAACTTTTGCTGCGAAAGAATTGGAAATTGTGGATTCATATTACGTTTGACTTCATTAGAGGTAACGTCAGAAGATGAAAATAACTCTCTTTCAAATGTCCAAAATGACCAAAGCGAGAATCTTTTCAACATTAAACTTATTATTAATCCCGAATTGTATCCGAGTGACTTACACTTCCATGGTGAGCTCGTTTCTGCTGCAAACATGCATTTTGCTATCAATGTTAATGAAACGTACGATTATCCGGTTACCTGGTACAACAAGCCCTGTCAAGACCGTACCAAGAGTTATCTTCATTGGGGAATTCATCAGTTCTGGAAGCAAGGATCATGTATTCAGCCTAAAACAGGGCAATCTCACAAATGGGGATTTTACCTCGGGGAAGAGGCAAGAATAAGACCAGTTGTTTACTACAAGATGGACCACAATTGCCCTCTGTAATTTCAGTAAAGAATGACTTTTTTAATGTATTCTCCATATATATTATTATGAAGTGTGAACCTCTTTCCTATGTTTAAAATCATTTATTTTTCATTCACCAAATTTTTTGTCTTACATAACAGTAAGAATGTAAAGATCACCTTTTTTCCTTTTTAAAATACTTTCGTTTTGAAATATGAATGTATCTGAAACTTTAATTGCTCAATGAAAGCCAAAAGCAATTCGAAAATTTGAACCCGGAGTAGGTTAACTTAAAATTAATTTAAGGTTTCATTGACATTTGATTCAAGCTAGGCGTTTCTTAGCAATTTAAAAATAATTCATTATGTTTTATGCTTTTTCTTTTCTGTAACTGAATCACCAAGAAGTTAAAGTTCTAAGCCAGTTCCACATTTCTGAGAAATGGAAATGATTACGATTGGTTTTAAACTTGACGAAGCAGCAGTGACTAGTGAAGTAAATGCGTCACTAAAATGTTCTCCCGAAATGAACTGCTAGTGGTCAAGTTTAATACCCATATTATTACTCGCTCACTATTCCTGCATTTTCAATAGTTGTAATCGGTTTATCTTCCTATTCTTACGTGGTATAAATAGATTAATTCGTGTGTTCAAACAATGAAATTTTCGTGCCATTTGATTGATAATTAACAATGAGTATCGAGTTATCTTTGTTCTAATCCTATGCTAGGTATTTAGTATTGGCAGAAGTTAGTTAGCCAGTTAATCACTTTATTTAAATTTACGACCATTAAGGTAGACCATGACAATATGACATCAACTGACGATGAAAATATACAAAAGCTCAAAGAAAGATGGGAGCAGAAAACTAGAAAAAGTGAGTCCACCAGAGCAATCATTGAATTGGTCAGTTCAATCTCTTTTGTCCTATGAAAAAGGTCCACGAACACGATCAATTAAAGTTTTAGTTTTACTCGGAAACAATATTCAACGGGCTGGGTTACTTTCTTTACTTCAAGTACATATATTATGTTTTACCGAAGTATCTATTGATATATTAAGAGAAATATTACAGGCGGATTCGATCTTCTGTTTGACGGAACAGGGTACATGACCATCGGTTACTACAAAACGGAGTCCAACACTGTGGCTGAAAGTGTCCGAAATATGACAGCTCGACTTGCTGAGATTTCTGAGATGAAGCCAGACTCTCACGTGCTAGATTTAGGGTGTGGCCGAGGTACTCCTGTGTTAGACGCTGCTGTCAGGGTCGGATGCTCGGTAGTTGGGGTAGATCTTACAGAGGGCAACATTGATATGGCCAATGAGTCTCTGAAACTATACAAGAGTGAGAAGAAGTCTGATTTAATAGCTGAGTTCTATGCTGCTTCATACTTTAATCTCCCGGAACCTGTTCTGAATCAAATATTTACTCATGTGATGATGCAGACCTCTTTGTTTTATAGTCACAATAGGATTGACGAACTTTTTGGGACAGTTGCCAAACTATTACGCCCTGGGGGATATTTCGTTGCCACTGATTTCTGCAGAATTTCTGAGGTTGACGAGGTTAAGGAATTTATGACATGGAACTCCATGCCTGCTATACTATCTTTAGATGAAATGAAAGCTGCTTTCTTACGAAACGGACTGGAGTATTGTGGCGGGGAAAACTTGGATCGTCATTGTGTGAAGTGCCATGAAACTTTACGAGAAAAAACTATTCAGTTAGGTATCGTTGAATTTGCATCCCCTGATTTCCACAGATCACGCGAAAATTTTGTGAAAAACGGCTTAGTTACATTTCAGATAATTATGGCTAAAAAACCGTAAAGTAGTTTGCTCTAAAAATATAATTTAATGAATATCACTATTAAGTATTAGCTAACAAAACAAGTTTTCTATCATAATTCATAATTGGTCATTTTAATTTCAGATCTTATCAATACCTATTAGGCACTGATAGTTTCTTAATCCTGTTTCAATTCATAATAATTATACTTCACTGTAGATCATGAGCTCGAATAATGAGGAACTTGTCCAAGCTACCAAAAAAAAATGGAATGAGCGATCCAAAGCAAGTAAGTAGGCAGCTTCCTTGAGCCTGTGTAGTGTGTAGTACTAATCGTGTTTTCTTGTTTTTTATCATTATATTTTCCGCTGATAGCTGCGATTTACCTGTAGTTCATATCAATTGGTCCTTTCAGGTGGAATAGACAAGTTATTTGGAGGTACCGGATACATAACTATTGGTTACTACAAAACAGAGACAGATTCTCTTATCCAAAGTGTTCTGAATATGACGGCTCGACTTGCTGAAATTTCTGAGATGAATTCCGATTCCCACGTGCTGGATCTAGGATGTGGCCGTGGTCGACCTGTGTTAGATACTGCTGTTAGAACGGGTTGCTCTGTAGTCGGAGTTGATTTGGCTGAAGGTCATATCGCCATGGCAAACGAGGCTGCCGAGCTCTACAAGAAGGAAAAAAAGCCCGATCTAAAGTATGAATTCTATGCGGCTTCATATTTCGATCTACCTGAAGCTGTGACCAATCAAACGTTTACCCACGTGTTGATGCAGACCTCTATGTTTTATGCTCATCACCGAATTGATGAAATCCTGACAAACATCTCCAAAGTCCTGCGTCCAGGTGGGGTTCTGGTAACTACTGACTTTCTTAGGGTTTCTGATACGGCCGATCTCACCAAATTTAAGGAAATGAATTCCATGCCTGTGATTCTTTCCTTGGATGAAATGAAAGCTGCTTTTGTAAAGAATGGACTAGAATATTGTGGTGGGGAAGATTTGGATAAACATTGTATGAAGTGCAATGCTATGAAGGCTCAGAAGATTGTCGACGAAAACATTGAGGGTCCTACTGTTGCGTTTTTCAATATGAGAGAAGGGTCTGTTCGGGACAAAAAGGTTTCCTTTAAAATAGTTATGGCAAATAAAATTTAATTTTAACTATTTAGAATTCAAATACTCGTATTATATCAATATCAGTGTTAGCTAAAATTTATCTTTGTTGGTTTTATGAACTTATAGTGACCCTTTTTTAATCGTTCAGTGACGCCGAGTTGTTTATTTTAGCGTTACTTTAAAGTTTGATCTTTTTCTGTTTATATTTTGATGGTTTTTAGTATATAGTTTGACTGAATTTTATGTACAATTAACATGTAACGATTCATGGTTTATGCATAATTAGTTGATCATATATTTAAGTTTGACTCAATCAAGACAGCAGCATCATTTTGGTTTTTATTGCGACCACCGAAAACATTATTAAGTTATTACAGTGATGAATTATGAATCAAGATGAGATTTATAAGTCTAATGATAATCACCTTTCAGCATGATTGATTCTATTTTGGATTCGCACGGCAATGAATTAGCTTCTGCAGTTGATCCTAAAGAGACTATCTGCTCCAAAAATAAACATGTCTCGATGGAAGACTTGCAGGAATTTGCCGGTTAGTGGCTACATCATCCTAATTTTAAATTGTTTTGGAGACAAAATTATGTAAAACATGGAAATGTAACCTCACTTTGATGCTTCGATAATCGCTTTGAAAATTACTATACTCACAACTTCAGATCACGGATTGAACGGGTTAAGACAGTTGGTTGAGATATATGATAATCAACTTAGTGATTTTGTACTGGATCTGGTTCCTTACTTAACAAAATTCCACTATGGTTTGTGCCTTTTCCTCAATTCTAAATAATTTTCAATCTGCTTGACTTTGAAGAAATTTTTGGTTCAGCATACTACAGACTAACCACATTTTATGACGGTGTCCGGCATATCTAAATTGTTTATTTTACCCACAAATTTTGCAGAATACGACAGCAGCAAGCACTCTTGCATAACAGATAAACTCAAAGCAAACTGCTCCAACAAAGAGCTCGTCCTGGTGGCATCAGAGCAACTGTCCCTCTCAACCTGCCCCAACACATATCCCCTCCTCCTTCCCCTCTTCGATCTGTCTCAACCTTATAACGCTAGCTGGCTTGGTAGCACCCTCATTACCAGTGTAACTAAAGCTGTGGTTTGTGACCGCTGCTTAGAAAATTCTCTAGATATTTCTTGCTATCAGGCTGTGATCGATTGTCTGTCAGTTTTGGATACTTCACAATGTTCAGAAGAGAGTTTGACTGAATTTCAAAAGTTGGTTATCTTTGTGGTTGACTCGGATAGGACTCTTTTCAGTGGATCATCAATTGCAATGGTTCACCGGATCCTTGGTAAACTAGACCTAGATTTCTCCAGTATCCTGACTAAGTCCACTACTGATAGCTGGGATCCACGATGTGTCATGCTTGTGTCCTACTTCCCGAACTCTGTGCCTTTGGTGTACGATTTCTCCTGGTTGTTCAGCAATGTTCTGCCTTGGTTACTTCTGGTTCTTGAAGATATCGGTAGTTTTGTGGAAGGAGATGATGTTCGACCTGTCCTGAATACCACAATGTTCTTCACGAAACAAAGTTTTAAAATCCATTCGTCTGACCTTGTTAAGTTAAGAAACTTGTTCGATTCGCTTATCTCGATTGCTGTCAATAACACGATAGCTATGAATAGGAGCGATGCTTCAAAATCGATAGCATTGCTTTCAGCTAGATTTTTGCTTCAAGATCGTTTGAAGCTTGTCAAACATTATACGAATCATGAAAACAATAGTGTAGCCGGACTGTTTATAGATATGTTGAAAAAGACGCTGGCAAATGACGGAAATGGGCTGTCCTCCTTCAAGATCTTGAAGCTGATCAGGCCACTGCTAAATATAGAAAACTGTGATGTCCTTGAATGTTCTCACAAGATTTTAGCTATATTATCCTTAATTCAACTGGTTTCAACATTACCTATCCTGAAGGAAAAGTGCAGTAATCTTGATGTACAATTTCACCAGTTTACTAAGACCGTTGAAGATCTAGTGAAAATAAAGCAGATGGAAGTAAATGCTGAGGTCAGCTCTCTGGGCGAAGACACGATATCTTCTTCTGACAAGAAAGTGCCAGCAACTATATCAGTTCAAGGAGAAATGATAACTGAACCCTCTGCTGCTGAGCAACTGCAGTCTCTTCAGCTCGCGAGGTGTCGACTCGATCTTATTCTATTCAATCTTGCTAGGACTGGTGAAGCTCTTGATAATCTTGGTAGATTAAATGACTGACCGGTTATTAAAATTCATGATAAAAGGTCTAAAGATATTCTGTAAGGTTTGAGGTATTTCGAAAGGCTTGAGGTTGCTAACATTAACGGGGAGGGGATTTGCAGCCTTGCTTTTATGTAATATGCTTTAGTTGGAATTTTAATTTCTGGGCTCAGAGGAATAGCAATATTTTTGAGAAATATTTTTATGGTTGTTTTTTAATTCGGGAGTAGGCCCGAATTCTCAATTAAGCAGAGGGAGGGGGTTTCCCCAATGCATACGGTGGCCAAGGATATGAGTTTTGAAATGCAAAAGACACTCCATAGTGCAGTAACTAATCATAACGGGATTCAAATTGAATTTTTGAACTACTAGCGCTGTTTGAGTGTTTGACTAATTTGATTTTTATTTGTACTTTTATGACTTAACTTAATAACTTTATTTATTGTGAATCATGGGTAGACATTTTACAAGATTTATATTGGATTAAACTTGCTAATTTACTGAAGAAAAGAAAAAACTTAAAAACAAATTGCTTTCATCAACTGTCCTAAACATTTACGATTCTTTTGTATCTTAATTTGTTTGAAATTTTATAGGCCCAAGTTTTTGTTTTTTTCTTTTTGAAACTGATTCTTATTACAATAGCAATGATCAGCTAATCATCAAATAATCGAAGTGACGCATCAACGTGTAAGTGGTAAGTAATCTTCTTAAAAGTTCAATCTGCAAAAAAAGATACATTGTGTGATGATCATTGTCATGATTTTATAAGTCACGTACATGCTTTTGTGCGGCCGCTTCTGTTATCAGCGAGAATATCTAAAATCTAATTTGAAATAACTTCATCAGATCATGAGCTTTAGTAGTGAGGAAGATCGTATTGAAAGTATCAAAGATAGATGGAACATTAGCACCAAATCAAGTTAGTTTTCTAGTTTTAAGTTACTTACACGTAGTTTTAAAAATTTAATCTTGCTGAAAATATATACATAATCTTGCAGCTTGTAACAACAAGAGACTTACTCTTTAACCATTTGGTTTTGCAGGTGTATTTGATGAACTATTTGGAGGAACAGGGTATCGTACTGTTGGTTACTATGAAACCGAGTCAGACTCCCTTGCGCAATCTGTTCGCAATATGACTGCTCTGGTTGCTGAAATTTCTGAGATGAAATCAGCTTCCCATGTCTTAGATTTGGGATGTGGCCAGGGCATCCCTGTCATGGATATCGCCGTTCATATTGGTTGTTCTGTTGTTGGAGTTGATTTGGCTGAATGCCATATTGAAAACGCTAATAAATCGGCAGAATTTTACAAGAAAGAAAAGAAGCCCGATCTTGAATCGGAGTTTTATGCGGCTTCATATTTCGATCTGCCTGAAGCTGTGACCAATCAAACGTTTACCCATGTGATGATGCAGACCTCTATGTTTTATGCTCATCACCGAATTGATGAAATCCTGAGCACTATATTTAAACTTCTGCGTCCCGGTGGGGTTCTGGTAACTACTGATGTTCTTAGGACCGGTGAGTCAGCTGATCTTAACAAGTTCATGAAGATGAACTTTATGTCTGCCTTGCTTACATTAGACGAGATGAAAGCTGCTTTGCTACGAAATGGATTAGAATATTACGGTGGAGAGAATTTGGATGACCACTTTATTAAAAGTGCTGCTAAAAAAACCGAGAAAATCGTCACGGAAAACATACCATGTCCATCACTTCCATTCTTCAAGCTTCAAGAGTCGATTGTTAAGAATAAGGAAATGACTTTTCAAATAGTAATGGCTAAAAAAATCTGATGTAGACGGCCAGGTTTCATTTGTACTGTAAATTACAGTATATTTATGCATGGTTTGATATATTATCATGTCTATTTGTGTGGAATAGTGTTTTGTTGAGCAAAAATTTGTGATTCTTATCAGTTTTTATTAATATTTAATCTTTTGTTAATAATAATGAATGTTTTGCTTATGAATATTTTTTTAACCCTTGTAAGATTACTGAACATTTTTACCTGAATTGGATTTATTACTTAGTAACAAAGTATATTTATTCCCATCATGTCCAGCACGAACATTTTTAACCATGCAATACTAACCTATATTTATTACTATCTATCGAATTACTCTATTAATTACAGTAGAAATGACGAATAATGGCACAGAAGCAAATAACAGAGCTAAAGAGTTTGTTGAGTATCATCTTCGTTGTTAACGCTAACGACGGACCCAAAGTCCTCTTCAGATACCCCCACGATGTAGATAACAGAAGTGAAGACCGAACTATCCCCACCGGGGTTTTCTCCAAGAAGGGAGCCTCAGTAGAGGAGCCCGCTGTAGTGGACAGTAAAATGGTTTTAAACGGTCTAAGGGATTCAAGTCTAGAGAGTCTCCTCATACCCAGGACACCTCATTGTTGTCATCGACCGTTCCGTGTTTCTGTTGACAGTTTAGTGTTCTTGGGGTACCCGTTTCAGCCTGATAGCGAGGTTAAGTCTCTGTATAATATCATCTTTGTGGTTGAGAGGGACACGGAACCACATATCATGGAATCTCTGATCAATCTATCGACGAGGATGTCTGTGGCATACGCTTATGAGGAACGTAATAACTCTTACATTTCAGAAAACCTAGATATGATTGGAAGATACTACAGAGAAGCCGATATACCCACCAGAGAGCATATTAATCCTCATGAAATAGATGAGATGGAGATTTCTATCGTGGAGCACTGTCCGTTTAGTGAGATGATAGACGAGGAAGATAGTTTACCGGCTAATCTCAGTGAGGTTTTCGACTCCATCAAACATGATTTATCCGCTAAAGTGCTGATAAACAAAACCATTAACTTCAGTTTTTTCATTCAGCTCCACGAGGCGCAGAACTGTGCAATTAAAACGAGCGTGGCTCCGTTTGAAAGTTTCATTATCTTGGAGGACCATGTGGAAATAAAGAAAAACTTAAATCATGACAGCTGTCCTGGTCTGATAAAACTCCTCGACCTGCCCAGGCCGTATTTCAGAAGTCTACGTGATATAGCGTTCAGTATTGATCTGGACTACCGTGAGGTGTGCAGGGCAGTCCTGGCACTGGTCCGCTGGAGGAAAGCCCTGATCGTGTATCCGGTAGTCAGCACCAATGAGTACATGGTATCCCATGCTGTTCCCATTTGCAAGTACCCCGAGCACGATGAGATATTTAGAGAGGAGTTCCCCGGATTTAACTTTTACGATGAACTGAGCAAGTTTTCTGTGAGGAAGAGTCTAAGCGAGATCTTGGATTGCTTCAAAGACAAGGAGACGATTGAATCTTACAAAATGATTGTGGTTTGGTTACTGAGACGGAAACTTCTGGTGCAGCTGTTTGCCCATGTTTACATCAAGCCTGCCCATGACTCCAGCTCGGAAACAAAACTCATATGTCAGAACCAGATACTACCAGCTGAACTCAGTGAGACTCCAGACAAAACCGATCTGCAAACTCCTGAATCTCCCTTAAAAAATTGCAGCTATCCGAGTCTAACCAGAGGTAGTTACATCAACGACCAGACCAGAACGAATAACTTCAGACAGTATCTTTCACCACATCAGTTCCGCAGGTTGAAAGATATTCAAGATGTCGACAGCACTGTGTTGACGAACTTTGCTAAAGTTTTACCTCATGCCCATGCCGGGAGAACATTCGAGGAAATCTTGTGGAGAACTAATTTACAGCAGCACGATTTACATGACATAATTTATAGAACATTTAGCGAATTCCTGATAACTGTTCGTCATCCGACATCCACGTATTGATTGAACATGTCTTCTGATTTTGTATGCACTTATTATGAATGCTGAATGCTCGGGTAGATAATTTTGTGAGTTTTTTTGTTTGAGGCCTCATCGTCCAGACGTCCACCATCCAACCACCGTTTTTTTTTCTTTGTCCCGAATTTTATAAATCTCAACTAACCATCTTCAAATTACTGGATAACCGTTTTAAGGTCAATCACATATTGCTGGGTGGTTGTGTGTCATTATTTTAATTCTTAGAGTTTGTTAGTGTATTTAATTGTATACAATACTGATTGCGACTGTATTCTGAGTTTTTATTTCCCACTCTCTTCGCCTACAACTTGTTAAAATTGCTTGAATTTATTGCACACTTGAATATGCCCCTAACTCCTAATGAAAATTTCTTTGTTTCACACCACTAAAAAATGATAATTAACTAACCTATTACTCCCAGTATTATGGGTGTTAAGACTCAGAGGATGGCAGACAACACCCCCGGTACACCCACCTACAGGGTTAAGCACTGGTTCCTCTGTTGTTTGGCACTCTGCCATCTTGCTGCCTTCTCATCGCTCTACGTCCAGTGGCCTGGTTAGTACACTTCTGTCGGAGTTTGTTTAAAAACCATCAATCATAACAAGCAGTTGAACTATGACCTATTGTACGCTTTATTGGATTTTAAACCGATCAAAGTTTTAAATTTTAAATTTGTTGAAAATAAAACCGTTCTAAACTGTCTGATAATGTAGTGGGAAGTGGCTCCCTCCCACTTTCATAACTACTTACATCCTCCCAGGTCTGTACGGAGAAGATGGAGTGATGCCAGCTCATCAAGCCACCCCCACCGGGTTCAGTTTGAAGACTCTAGCTGCAACCTTCAATCTGCCTCTGAAAGAGACGGCCGAGTTAGTGTGTTTAGTTGGAACTGTTTTAGCTGGCCTCTTGACCGCCTTCCCAGCTCTGAGGGTCAGTCCTGCTTATGCCTTGTTGGGAGCACTCTATTTCAGCCTCTATCAGGTTAGTCAGACTCTGTTATTACCTTTTATGGTGTCTTACGGATATCCTGGTGCCAGGATAAATGATATAAGTTGCAGCTGTACCATTTTAGGTAAGAACAGTAGTGCCCACCAAATTTCCAGTAACTATAATTTGAACTATTTATATTGTTCTACCACTTGTTCTACCTGTATTCTAGACTAAGTGGAATACTTGACAGTTATCACTACAGGTGGGGAGGAAGTTCCTTTGGTTTCAGTGGGATATTATCCTGTTAGAGACTACTTGTCTCAGTGTTCTTGTAGCCCCTCTCTTCCCCTCCAAAAAAAGGTATCAGTGTGTCGTTATATTATTGGATCTAGTCTATTTGTAGTGGATTTCTGTTATGACCTTAGCGTTGGTGGAGCGATAAGTGCAGCGTTTACATTTCACAATCAAATCCCCACAATTTGCATAACTTTTAAGGAAATCTGCGCATTAAGAGTTAACTTATTTTACCTTACTCCACCCTCAGTTTGCCACATGACAACATCACGTTGTGGCTGGTGAGATGGTTGGCGTTCCGGCTGATGTTTGCGTCGGGTGTGGTCAAGTTAACCAGCGGCTGTCCGACTTGGTGGGGCCTTACTGCCATGAACTGGCACTATGAGAGTCAGGTCAGTTACTTTATTTCTGTTGTTGTTGATATTTTACAATTTATTTTCCTTTTTTTGCTCTCTTCTCTAATTTAATCTTCTAGTTATTTTTAATGTACTAATTATGATTTATCCCTCAGTGTATTCCGACACCGTTAGCTTGGTTTTCTCACCAGTCCCCCGACTGTTTTCACAAACTTGAGGTGATCGGAGCATACCTCATTGAGATAGTCTTCCCCTTCCTCTTCTTCGCACCTATCGCTGCTATGAGAGCTATGGGTGTTTACGCTCAGGTAATAGTCATGCTGAGATTTTGCAGCACTGCAAATTTCGATCATCAGCTAGGGTTCTGATGAAAAGCAATGCCTTTCCTCTCCTAGCAGACTCCATGTCTATAGCTCACAAGAATCATAAAATTATGTTTCAATAACTTTAATACACACAGGTGTCCCTGATGTTGATGATCATGTTAACGGGAAACTACAACTTCTTCAACATGATAACATGTGGTCTGGTGATCACCTCCCTTGACGACTCCTACCTCCCCTCCGCTGCTACTCTAGTCACCTACCTCTCTCCTGTCTCTAGTGGGGGCCTGGGAGCTGTTGCTGCTCTTTTCAAACTACCGTTCAAGTTGCTGGTTGCTCTGGTGAAGATGCCGTATAGGGTTGTCGTTGGAGCTAGTAAATGTCCTGTCAGGTAGGAATATTTTGAGTGATTGGAAAGTCGGTGCGTTCTAAAGCATTAACTGATCTACATAGTTCTGTCATTATACCCCAATAGTCGAATTAAAATTCCCTATCAATAACACTAATAGTAAATCCCCACCAGGGCGGTGTCCACAATAGGTATCCTGTCTGTTGTGGCTGGAGCGGGCTGGTTAATGAGGGTGCTGGGTGGAGTGGGGGTAGATGGTAACTGTGGTAAACTAACGTTTGCTAGACCCGAGTTGGAGTGGTTTCTATCCCACTCCGTTCCAATGGCTATTGTTATGGGCCTGGTGTCCCTTCTTGGAAATATTATCAGAGCTTACTACTTCACTTTGAGATCTACTGATAAGTCAAAGTTAGTGCAACATTTGGTTATTTAGTTTTATTATTAACTACAGACCCCTGACTGTTTTATAGCTCCGACTACAACAAAAAAATAACAACTGTTTAAACTAAGTTGTTAGCCCATCCTTTTTGTATTGCAACTTTTATTTAATAGCTCTAACGAATGGCAAGTTAAAATATTAACCCATCCTTTTTGTCTTACAACTTTTGTTTTATTAACCCAGACTTTTGTCACACAGTTTTTGTGCTACGAATGTTTACTGTGCACTAGGTAATGTGCCACAGACAGCCACACTAATGTTTGATGTGCACCAGGTAATGTGCCATACTAATGTTTGATGTGCACCAGCTAATGTGCCACACTAATGTTTAATGTGCACCAGGTAATGTGCCACACTTATGTTTGATGTGCACCAGGTAATGTGCCACACTAATGTTTACTGTGCACCAGGATGATAAAGCTGGGCGAAGTGATACAGACAAGTATAGTCTCGTGCGCTGTAATGACCATGTTTGCGGTGTCCTTGATGCCCATTACCGAACTTGACAGAGATACTCAGAACAAGATACCACTCTCGGTTCAGGAGCTCCATCATAGGTTTGTGGGGGGGGGGTCATCATAGGTTTGTATTTTGCATATTTATCATAGGTTTGTAGGGGGGGGGGGGGGCCGGGGGTAATCATAGGTTTGTATTTTGCATATTTATCATATAATATATGCTATTTGATATCATAGGTTTGTATTTTGCGTATTTATTATTTATGTGTTATTTAGTATTGCAATGTCTATTAAATAGTTGAGTTTTCTGTGGAAAATAGTATGTTAGTTTTATTCATCACATTTAATCTGCTGTGTTATCTCAATTACATGTAATTTACAAAGAAAGAACAAACAAATATTGCGGTAACAATTATTCGAATATCTGATCGTGAAGCAATCTCCTGGTACAGACTTCTTAACAAGCCAATCTTGCATATTATACAGTAACTTAGTTAAAATTATTGGCATCGAAGAACAAGTCATGTAATTCTTAACAAATATAATTGTGCTTGGTCATCTAGAAAATATTTTGAGTTCATATCTCAGATCATATCTCGTCACGGTATTGCCAAGTACAAGTTCTGCTGATGAATATTCCTCTCCAGATCAAACACACTCTGTTCCATGACATCTGTCAGCTGGCTCAGCTGCAAACTCACTCTCTCCCCCTCACACCTTATTCCCTCTAACTTACTGAACTGGGCCTGGAACTCTGCTCTTTTATACCTCTTACCAGACCCCCGGCCCTCTCCTTCATCACTCCATTCCTCGCACACTATAAAATTGTTTATATCCTCCAAACCTCCCGTCAGATCCCGGTTAGCCTGGCTGAGTCCCTCGTATTGTTTGAGCATGAGTTTAGAAAGGGTGTTGAGGACCCGGTCTCGTTGGAGCTGGGACGACACACTCCGTGATTTGCTGGATATGATCTCCATAGCTCGCTCTACTGCTGATGGAATGAGCTCCTTCCCTACTTCCAGCTTTTTAAACCTGCAGTATTGTCTTGAAATGTAGGTTTGGTGAAAATCTGCCATTTTAGGGGGATCCCTGAGCGGAACTGTGTGCATATATTGAAGTTGAATTCTGAATAAACTAACGAGAACAAACGATAATCATAAATGCGAGAACATGAACATTGCAGAGGCTTGCTTGATAAATGGTGACCGATTATTGCTTCTACTGGTGGTTATTTAACTGTAAATAAAGACGGTACGTCTATTTGTTATACATAAACGGGATTATAAGTTAATAGCTATCAAGCAACTTTAATAGTGCATCAAGTAAGGCTACTTCGGTTATCATAGGAGGAGTAGTTTAAGTTATTATATAACATATATAGTTATTATATAATGTATATATATATAAATATATATATTATATAATAACTTAAACTATATAACATATATACATATAACGGGCAGAACTGAAGTTGGGGAGAAGAATAACTCTAGTTGTTCAAAGAAGATTACAAGTTTGGTTTTCGATAATGTCGATTTGCCATGCTCAACTGCTAACTTTAAACCCGTCTGCTATAATATTAGAACTGTTAGTTTACGTTGTGCTAACTTTAAACCCGTCTGCTATAATATTCTAATATTAGAACTGTTAGAGTGTTAGTTTACGCTGTGCTTGATGTCAATGACTGGTATTAAGCAATTGTAGGGATTGGCTTTTAATGAGGCCACCGCATAGTTTGGAGTTAGGATTCGAACATTGAAGTAAAAGCTTTTATATATAAAGCTTCTCGAAAGAGGACTGAATAAAGAGGCCGCCACTAGCCTTTTCTTGATGATCTTGCGGAGCTCTTCCTTGGTACAATACCCAGAGTTGGGTGACAAATCGTCAGCAGTCTTCTGTATCGCCTCCTCAATTCTGACCACGATGTCGTCATCTTTTATCTGTAATGTTAACATTCGATGAGTTGATTGATGAAATGACTATAGAATAATGAAATGTGCTAGCATTCTTTTATACCACGTGACTTAACTTGTAAAATTCGCAAAAGGTCCGATATCGAAAATTCATTAATATTTTTAGCATTAATATCAAACATATTAAACATCACGGATAACAGGCATCTCCAAAATGCACTTACAGTAAAGTTGTCCGGTTCTGGAGTCGTGCGTTTCTTGTGACTTGACTTACAGTGAGAGGACTTTAGAGGGGACCTTGCTCTGGGGTTGCTGTTGTACGGTCTAGCCGACCAAGTCATTGTTATAACTGTACAACCTGATTTGATCAGACTATTACCCGAACATTTTAGATACAGTCAAACCTCCCTGTAGGTTGTATATTGGGGGGGGGGGGGGGTATAGTAATTTGTATCAGAAATATTTTGATTTTTACCGATTAATGCAAATGGTGCCCATTTTGCCCATGTTTTCCTCAACTTCCTCAATATCGACGGGGTAATAATGTCGCCTCCTCCCCTCCCCCCCCCCCCCCCCCCCCCCCCCAACATGTTGTTTCCCCCGAGAGGCCCGGTATATATAATGTTGAATGATGATATGAATTGTAAGTTAATTGAACTATTTGGTTCAGCAGTTACGGTACTATTATATTGACAAAAATAAGTACTTCACTTAGAGAAAACAAATAAGTCATCCGATGACATCCTGCTTAGCACGTCTAAACCAAGACAAAACAAATAACTTAAAAGTTAAAACGTGCGGTCTGTCACTCAGTGACTCAATGACTGAGCTCACACTCACACTACTGAAACTAGCACTGAAACCTATCATTGGCACTACAACTGATGTTTTTTGAGATGCAGCTTTTACTATGGTTCGCAAGCATTGCAGATTGTCTCTCTCTCTATCTCTCTTCTCTCTCTCTCTCTCTCTCTCTCTCTCTCTCTCTCTCTCTCTCTCTCTCTCTCTCTCTCTCTCTCTCTCTCTCTCTCTCTCTCTCTCTCTCTCTCTCTCTCTCTCTCTCTCTCTCTCTCTCTCTCTCTCTCTCTCTCTCTCTCTCTCTCTCACACTCTTTGTCGTGGTCCTTCGCACTGTGTGTCCCGTAATTAATTAAATTCTAGATTAAAAGTATGACGATATTATGATAAGTATAACTTATAAAATCCGGATTGTATAAGTATAACGATAATAGAATACGTGGCTAATGGCAATACGACGTTAAAATTAAATTAAAATTAAATCGAATTTCAAAGACTTTCAATCAAAGACTAAAAAATGATAAGAATCCACCAGCGAATTACGGGGCTCCTGCTTAGGATTTCAGCTAACTACTAAAATATTAAGTTAGAATTGTATCATGTTTACATAATATGATACGCCAGGCTCCGGTTCTATGATCCGTTCACTCAGTATTTGCACACTATAAAGGCCATCTGTACACGTGTACTTTAGAACCAGAGAGCCTTTTAGAGTCATTATTATTATCAAGCTTCGCTCTTTATACCAGAAATTTTTAAAAGTCTGTGATGAAAATGGCAACGAACCCCTTACAAAATTAAACAGTTTTAAGTTTCTGATAATCTGATGGTATGTAAAGAAAATAAACGTATTCCGGGCTAACAGCTCAATACAGAATTTATCCCTTTCTAGGGATAAATTCTGTATAATTCTTGATACGTTTCTTGCTAAGTATGGGCTTCAGTCTGGGTGATTAAAATGATAAATATATTTCATAACAATTTATCATGCCTTCTGACGGTACGGTTGTTATAATGGTGGATTATTTTCAGGACACGCCACTACCACGTTGCAAACAGTTACGGTTTGTTCAGAAGCATGACGGGGGTCGGTGGCCGTCCAGAGGTATGTTCCACCAACCATTGTTCATTAATTACACACTCAGCGTGAGTTATCTGTTTACAGCTGATATGTTAAATCTATTATGAGCTCTAGTCTCCTACTATAGGTTCTAATCGGACGTATCAGAGCTACTTCAGCTAGTGAGTGATGTCAAATTTAAGGTTAAGACTGGATCTGGAGAAGTCATTTTAGGGCCTACGAAATAATTTCCACCGGTATTTTGTCGAACTGAACATCCCACACCCTTTGAACATCCTCGATTTGCTTGAATCTCAAAAATGGCGAGCTGGAGGCCAGTCTTACAGGTTCTACTTACTATGACTGAATCTGTGTTAGTTAAAGTCGAACTACATATTTTATATAAAGTCACCATACAGTTGCTCGATCCGGTCTGTCTTTTTGTTAGAGACGACTGTACTGCAGCATACGGGACACTGCTATAAATATTGGTACTTCTATTTCACAGCACTTATACATATGAGTTTATAATTTACTTTACAAATATTTGGATTTCATCATTTCTCCATTTCGGCACGAAAATGCCTCGCGGGTTGTTCTTAGCAACGACAAAGAAACAGCATCTTGTTGGATTGTATGACGAGCAAGATTTGTGTCATTTACTCCTTCTTTCTCTCCAGCCTTCTCTGATACTGTGGCATTGATCCCACAATTATCTTGTCAGTGATCTACTCAACATATTGTTTTGATATTATATTCTCTGTGTGATCGCTCCGTTTTCTGTTGAATTGTACAAAATTTTGACGGAAATGTAACACGGAAACACTTTCATAATAATCAGAATGTTCCAAATCTCGCTGAGAAATATTATGGTATTATTTGTGCGCCTGATATTCTTTGTTGATCCTCTCGAATCCTCTACTCTAGTAAGATGGACAATAATTCCTTAATGATTCACTTTACAACTCAAATGGAATTGATGAAGATATGGAAAATGTCTTTATATTCCTCGTCCCGTTCAACATTCCGTTGTGTATCCTCGTATTGGCTGTTGGTACCATAGTCCTATCCTACTACTGGAGAAACCGTGGGACCCTCACAAACACACTATTTATCATGATAACAGCTGCTGATTTGATCACGTGTGTTGGTCACCTGATCCTGATGATATGTGTTGTCCTCCTATCATATAACGTGATACCTCCTATCTCTGCTACCGTGTGTGTGGTGATGCACGGTGTACTGTCACTTCTCGGCTACGCCTCATCTATTTTCTTCAATATGGTACTCGCTGTTTTGAGGACGGTTAAAATATCCTTCCCTTTCCATCAGTTCAATGTTAGAGCTCTGAAGATAGTAATAGCTCTTGTTATCGCTTTTTTAGTTTCATTGACTGTAGTGGATGTGTGGTACGACATCTACGAATCATCTGCATTCCTTGATTACCCCTATCTTCTCCTCTGGTTGAATGTGGATTTAGCTTTTGTTGGTCATAATCTGACGAATTGGCTTGATATTTTTATAAAGCTAATGCCCCTCACTGCGTATACGATGATTGGAGATCTACAAGTAGGGTTGCTGTTTCTAGCTCCGATTGGTGTTGTTCTGATCTGTCTTGTGGTCCAGTTTGTAGTCACACGACTCAGAGCACGTGCTCGTGACCCTGACCACCCTGCACTCACTGATTGGTCACATGTGAACATCACAGTTGCGATCCTTTCTGCTGTTTTCCTGGTCTGTAACTCAGGAATAGCAGTCCTACTGATTTACACTAAAAGTAAAGCTTTCATTTATGATGACTTTAGCTGGAAAGTCATCACATTAATGGTAAGCACGACGCTACCGCTCTTGAACGCACTTCTGACACCGCTCATCATATTTGCTAGAAGCAGGGAGCTGAGGGGGAATGTGATGATGATGTTAAGAAGAGCTGTAGGGGTCACACCAGCAGTGAACTAGAAAAAAGAAGCTAAACTAACAGCTGAATTCTCGGACCGAGCTGCTCACAATGGGACAGCTGAGACGGTAAGACAGTGACAACTAACACTACCGGAGCAACAGACACTTAGAACATCTCTAGTGGGGGCATCACACTACCGGAGCAACAGACACTTAGACCATCTCTAGCGGGGGCATCACACTACCGGAGCAACAGACACTTAGACCATCTCTAGTGGGGGCATCACACTACCGGAGCAACAGACACTTAGACCATCTCTAGTGGGGGCATCACACTACCGGAACAACAGACACTTAGACCATCTCTAGTGGGGGCATCACACTACCGGAGCAACAGACACTTAGACCATCTCTAGTGGGGGCATCACACTACCGGAGCAACAGACACTTAGACCATCTCTAGTGGGGGCATCACACTACCGGAGCAACAGACACTTAGACCATCTCTAGTGGGGGCATCATACTACCGGAGCAACAGACACTTAGACCATCTCTAGTGGGGGCATCACACTACCGGAGCAACAGACACTTAGACCATCTCTAGTGGGGGCATCACACTACCGGAGCAACAGACACTTAGACCATCTTTAGTGGGGGCATCACACTGCCGGAGCAACAGACACTTAGACCATCTCTAGTGGGGGCATCACACTACCGGAGCAACAGACACTTAGACCATCTCTTGTGGGGGCATCACAATTTAAACTATCCAGGACATTCCATCCCTTCACAATTTGAACTTGATTTTGGACTCCAATTTAATGAAGAGTGTTTCGAATTACGTTTCGAAATATTCAGAATTGTGATTAGAGCTTTGTACCGGCACGGTACAAATGAATTATTTATTAACTGTTATTTAGTATTTAAAATTTACGGTATATATGAACTGTGCAACATTCGAATTATTTTTACAATATTTTGCAAAGGTTATCAATCACTTTTCTTCGGTTAACTGTGGAAATATTGGGTTAATACTATAATGATGCTTGATCATCGTTCTTTAATCTTTCCATGAAAACAGAGGTTGTTAAGCAGCTTGATTATAAAGATAAATATGTAATTTTGTGATTTGTTTGTCTTCAATATGTTCATTTTAACATTCAATTATTTCTTTAATCTGTGTGTAACTTGTGTCAGAAAAGTATTGTTTGCATTCCTTTTTAATACAGTGTACATTGTATATTGTACAGTGGTCGATATTTAAAAGTACGGGTTGCTTCTTAATCTAAATCAATATCTCATTAAATATCCCTTTTAGGTGATCCTAGAAGGCTCAGACAAACACGATGGGGGTTGGCAAGAGTTCGAGTTTCTCTACAAACCAGGCGACCTATCTCGCGCTCCCCCCGTACGTTTATTGATATTTTGGTTGTTAAAGTTTAACATTTTAATTGTTTAAATACACAATTGGAACAATGAGTTATTTATCGTATTACTTTTAAACCCTGTTAAGTGCAGTGTTTGTTTTCTCCCAATCACACTAACCCTCCCCAGGTAGTGACGCCCCACCAGCCTCGATTAGACTGGCAGATGTGGTTTGCAGCCCTCGGATCTTACAACTACAACCCCTGGATAATAAATCTAGCGTACCGCCTTCTTAACAACAGCACGGATGTTAACAACCTTATCAAACACAACCCCTTCCCAGACAACCCACCCAAGTTTATCAGAGCTCTCAAATACAGGTTATTCTTTTAGAATTCGATACTTTGAGATTAAGGGGAGATACACCAAAAACGTTTTTGCTCCGAACATCGATTTTATTTTATATTATGGTTAAATAGACAAAAAGAATAAGATTGCACACCTTTAAAATTTTCTAAAAATATTCCCTCATCGAGGAAAAAAATATTTTTCTTTTTCGAAAATTTTTAAAATTTTGAGAAGTCTGTCACTGTAATACCGATAGTTCGGTCATTTTAAAAGTTTTTTAGCTGATTTTTTACTAAACATTACTTACAATCCGTACAAGAAGTCATTGAAAGGATTATATAATTTAACGATAAATGACGAAGTTACAGACCAAACAAGGTCAAAAAAATAAAAATTGAAATTTTTCCCACTTCTAAAGTTGTACATTTCACCAATCACCTGGGTCAGCAGATATCGCTTCAAAAATTCTTGTGAGTGTAGCTGATGATCATATCAAACTTTTTGGAGTAGGATTTCTCTCGGATTTGAGTTTTAAGCTATGCAATGTGGCCTCAAACGACTTAGTAAAATTCATCGTAAAAAAGGGCAAAAAAGGCAGATTTTAGGCTTAAAATGCCTATAACTCAAAAAGAATCAGTTTTTTTTGAAATAATTTTTACAGAATCGTAATCAGCTTGGTAAGACGAATCTTTTAGTACCAAATAGGTGCTTTTAGAAGACAAATTGTCTTAAATAATTTTCTAGCTCGAACACAATTTTGTACAAATTGTACACATTTTTTTACAAATTTTGTGTCTTTAAATATTATAAATGTCGTACTAAAAGATTCGTCTTACCAAGCTGATTACGATCCTGTAAAAATTATTTCAAAAAAACTGATTCTTTTTGAGTTATAGGCATTTTAAGCCTTAAATCTGCCTTTTTTGCCCTTTTTTACGATGAATTTTACTAAGTCGTTTGAGGCCACATTGCATAGCTTAAAACTCAAATCTGAGAGAAATCCTACTCCAAAAAGTTTGATATGATCATCAGCTACACTCACAAGAATTTATGAAGCGATATCTGCTGACCCGGGTGATTGGTGAAATGTACAACTTTAGAAGTGGGAAAAATTTCAATTTTTATTTTTCTGACCTTGTTTGGTCTGTAACTTCGTCATTTATCGTTCAATTATATAATCCTTTCAATGACTTCTTGTACGGATTGTAAGTAATGTTTAGTAAAAAAATCAGCTAGAAAACTTTTAAAATGGCCGAACTATCGGTATTACAGTGACAGACTTCTCAAAATTTTAAAAATTTTCGAAAAAGAAAAATATTTTTTTCCTCGATGAGGGAATATTTTTAGAAAATTTTAAAGGTGTGCAATCTTATTCTTTTTGTCTATTTAACCATAATATAAAATAAAATCGATGTTCGGAGCAAAAACGTTTTTGGTGTATCTCCCCTTAACGCTCGACTATAAGTATGAAGTATAATGTAATGCTTTTTTCTACGTCGATCTTCAATTGGGAAGATTTTGTAAAAAGCATGGAATGTTCCTTCAAAACACTACAAACATCAATATACTACAAAATTAATAATTGTGTTTTAACCCTACTCTCTTGCCAGATACCACTACACCAAGTTCGGTAACGGAACACGTAACTGGTGGACACGTGACAGTCAGGAGGAATATTTCCCACCTCTGGCACTGTTCCAACCTACCTTGAAAGAGTTCCTGGATTACCATGGATACATTAAACCCCTGCGCGAAGACCACGTGGACAAGACGATTGTTCCTTATATGGGCATGATCAGGTCAGTGGTTGATAAGGCTGACCCTGTGGTGTTTATTTGGACACTGTGTCTGGCCTCGTTTTTGCCTCATTTTAAGGCGTTGAGGTTTAGGTTTAGCTTGTTTGGTATCTAATGACAATTGCAATATCTTTATGGTTTATGGATTTCAATAAAGAGGGGATTTTGGGATTAAAGACAGCTATTTTTTCAAAATAGTTATTTCAGTAGTAAATTAGTATTATTAATAATAATATTATATTTTTGTATTTGCAATTTTCGAATGGATAAATTTTCATATTAAACCTAACAGTAGTATAATGTAAACAACAGATGCTGGATGTATGGTTCATGTCACCAAGTAAATAGTGTTTTAAGTTTCGTTTTTCGCTCTCCTGAGTGGGTCGATAATGATAGATTAATGGGGACAAGACATGATGTATTTTGTGGAGCCTCTCATTTCGTCCCCAGTAAACTAAAGAGTGTTTTACGTTGAAAGGTGTTCCAATGTTTGTGGCTTTTATTTGAACGGGTTTTTATTCCAGGTTGTTTGTGTAATGTAGCTTTTCCGATAACAATATTTAGCAGTCCTGTAAAATAAGAGGCAACATTAAGGGGGCATACCCCAAAACAGTGGTTTGTGCCGTCCAGACCAAATGACCTCATAGGCAGTTCAGTGACCTTCTAGCGCACCGTTTCCACACAAAAAAAAATTATTTTGAGAATTCCCATTTTTGTAATCGAGCATTTCCTGGTTAAGAGTGCGATTTTCGGAAAAAATTATTTTGTGGTTGAGACGCTATAAGTTAATTATTTCTTGCGGTATCGGGTTGAAATTTTGCTCGCCATTTATTCACAACTATGTCAAGGTGTGTGTAAAATCTTGATATCGTATCTAAAAAGGCTGCTGTGTTATGAATTTTTAAAGTCAAAAAGCTAAAATTGTCCTTTTCAGGCTTATTTTAACAAAAAGTCAGTCAGTGAAGATCGGATTATTTGATGCTTGACATCAAATTGTTCTCTGAATTCTGGCGCAGTTTTTGATGCCCTCAAAAATGTTCTTACTCATCACCTTCTGATCTATTGGACCTCAAAGCCAAACAACAAATTTAGGCACGTTTTTCGTTTTTAATATTTACTGATTTTTCTAAAATTTTGATAGGAATGTGCTAGTGACTTTTTGAAGGGTGCAAAATAACCGCAACTAGCACATTTATATATGAGTTATGAACAACAAAACACCCTAAAATGCTTCCCTTTGAAGTTATGGGAGAAAATGTGATTTTTTGGCTTTGCAGATGGCGGCCAAATTCTGAAAAATGCCCGGCAAATTTCAGAATTTGGCCGCCAAATTTTTTTAAAGGCCTAACTCAAAATTCTGTCCGAAAACTTAAGGTCAAAATGCGATTCTACGTTGATTCTGAAAATTTCATGTAAAAATATTGAAACCCTATTGAGTTCTATTGTTTTGAGCGAAGTCAGTTTTGCAAATATCGCGAACCGAGATATGGGCAGTTTTGTTCATTTTTTGCTATTATTTGAACACAGAATCCACAGTTAGGTAGATATTGAGCTGATGTTCATAGAGAATGTGTAGAATAGGCTTACCTTCCATATAAAGTTGGTTTCATTCAAAAATATTGATATTTGCCCAATTTATGGGCCAAAATCGATCAAAATTGGTGCGTATGCCCAAATATGGTCATATGGTTTTTGGCTCATAACTCAGTCATTTTTTGTCCAATCTTGATGAAACTTCATATACGAGTTCAAGGGACCACTAGCTACAAGTAGAGCACCTAAAATCTGGGTTTTGGGCAGGTTCAGGGTATTTGGCTAAATTGGGCCTAATTTGGGCAAAATATGGGCGTGGCTGCCCCGCGGGCACCGTTTGGCGGTTGGGGTCCGGGACCCCCTCAAAAGTTCGGTCACCGGTCTTAGTTTGTTGGTCAATTGCTATCTCGAAAACAAGTTTCACAAAAAAATCAGGGTGAACCCCCCCCCCCCCCCCCCCCCTTAATACCTGGTTACGGTCCGGTTTAAAGTTTAAAAGCTGTTCAGCCGGGAAACAGCTTAAAGTGCGAAAATGTGCGGAAAACGGCAAATAGTACGCTTCCGCACCTGCCGCACTTATATGTTGCCTCGAGCACGGAGCATCATGCTCAGGATTGTAAACATTTTTTAATCAAAATCTTTCGCCATTGATCATTAAGGTCATTTTGTTAAAGTCATTCACATTGTAATCATTCTGCTGGGAATGGATTAATGAATTTTGTTTATATTTTATTCGTTTTGAACTTACCATTTTGATGCTGTAAAGTTATAAAAAATTAATATTTCATTATCATTATTATTCATTATATTTACTGTATTCTTTTTACAAAGTGAAAAACTAACAACAAAATTCAAAAACCAGCATTCCAAATAAGAATCTGTTATAAAATAGTCTCGAAAAACCGAAAGACTCTGTCATGCTGCACTCCTAGTCATGCTCAACTTTTTTATTCGATCCTCCAGAAAAGTTCAAGATATTAAGAGATTTATTTAGCTAAAATATTTAATTGGCTAAAATATGTTTAAACGAATTTATTTTGATAAATTTTAACATCTAATTAACCATAATCTGTGTTCGGATACAATTCCAATCTACTTTCTGAGAACGTTGTCGATAAACCAGGACTGTATGTTCCCAGCGGGCCAGTAGTTAGCCACAGTTACAAATGTGTTACCAATCTGAGCGGTCGCCATGCCAATCTTCCACGATCCTGTAAGAATTTTGAAGTGAATATATTAACTATTCAGGTTTCCTCGGGTTTTAATATGGCCGCATGTTGGGTATTTTGTGGTAATCACGAAAGAAAACAGGTTACCGCAAAATTGAGTCGTAACTTAGTCATCTGTACGTGTTTTTTATTTTCTACTTTGTTAAGCTTAGTCATCTGTACGTGTTTCTTATTTTCTACTTTGTTAAGAGACCAAGTTCAGCTATTTAATTGTTGCAAAACTTCTGAGGCTTCCATGTTTTATTCCTTTGGTACTACTTCGTGAAAGAAACGTTGTGGCTTATGTTACGACACTCATATAATATTCGTGCAACAATCTGTAACAGGCACTGAAATGTCTTCCCCAAATGTTTGGAAACCTCAGTTCATACCAAGTCTCTGTGATATTTACAGTGAATAGAGATTACTGTAATTAAGGAGCTGACGTTCTGTTGAGAGGTGGTAACTAGAAACATGTGCTTATATATTCTACAAGTTGATGACAAACCCAGCTTTCTGATCCATATTTCGTATGTGATTCGCCCTTAAACGGACCTTCCCATACCTTGTTAAATTACGAGCATGTGGCAGACGTTTCCAATTGACCGTGTAGATACCACAAATTAGAATTAGAATAGCCTCCTTGCAGAATAGAAATACAGGTACAGCTAAGATAGAGAATACTTCAGATTATAGATGCTATCACAATTAGTTGTGGACACAACAAGAAAATTGAGAATAATCTTGTGCGAGGGTAGGGACCCAGATGTCGTTTCTAACCCAAATAAACTAAGTAAGAAACAATTGGATCGGGTTAAATGTATTTTGACGAATTTGCCATGGCACCCTACCATTTTATTTCTAGACGAGAATAGTAGAGTGCCACCATGTACACCCTGCCTAGCGCTTACCTTTCCAGACGAGAATAGTAGAGTGCCACCATGAACACCCTGCCTAGCGCTTACCTTTCCAGACGAGAATAGTAGAGTGCCACCATGAACACCCTGCCTAGCGCTTACCTTTCCAGACGAGAATAGTAGAGTGTCACCATGTAAACCCTGCCTAGCGCTTACCTTTCCAGACGAGAATAGTAGAGTGCCACCATGAACACCCTGCCTAGCGCTTACCTTTCCAGACGACTTGAGAGAAATGAGATGTATCGTGGGTAAACTCGTTAGCATCATAGTCGAACTCGTCCTCCTCGCTGTACCAGTTGTTGGTTACTCTGGTGCCTGCTTCGTATGCAGACAGCGTGCTCCCACAATACTAGTTGATTGATTAGTTTTAAGAAATCTTGTGGGATTCAATTAAATCAGGGTTCAGGGAATATTCTGATGGTTATTTCATTTCTGATCATCTCTGTAGGACTCAAGATAAAGAGCAAGTTAAATTTCAAGTACTGTAGTCGCCTTGAAGCTCATTAGCCACTTAAATCTCTAAATCCATCCAAGTTTCAGGATGAATCATGTTTGTTAATTCACTAACCTGTACATACAGGCACTCCCCCATTCCTTGATAACTGTCGTGCTGCAGTTCCATCTCAGTGGCAGATCTACCCTCGTTTAGTTTCAGCAGGTGAGCCACCCTGTAAGGGAATGAAATGTGACAGTGAAGCGTTCCTTCATATAAATCGGGTATTCAAAAGGAGGTATTTTTCTGCGGTAATCTGGCTCAATGAATTAACCATCTCCAACAGTTTATCAGATTGCTAAGACAGTTGAGTTCGTCTATAGGAATTCAAGTTTTAAATTCTTGTAGAAAATTACCATTTCTTAGCGTGATCCTCAAGTTTGTTGCTCCAAGTAAGAGGGGGACTATGGTGGAGTGCTCTTAACCGGTTGTGCTGCTCCAGACCAACTCGTTCAAACTCTCCCAAACTGTGACAAAATGGATGGTTATTAGTTAAGCTATATTTGTTCTAGTCAGGTAGTCTTCCGTTTAATAGAAAAGTTAGTCTTAGCTGCGTTAATTTCAAATTTACCAGAAGACCTGGCGTTGGCGTCAATACAAAAATATCCAGTGTCGAGACCGGTTAAACTGAACTAAACCAATGGTGCTTGTGCACTGCTTGTGCACATATATCATTGGAAACAGGAACCTCAACCTGGTCCCGGATTATTATTGCTTCGGGGAAACCCTAGAATCAGGATTCTAGAATCTAGATCTTAGTCACCAGTCCTAGCTAGAAAAACAAATACTAAGGGTCGGGTAGTAACTCTATTAAGTCAAACTTATACTCTAACCTGATAGACTCCTGGCTTGATAATAGCCTCATATACATACTCCTGTCTTGACTATGGTTGTCTAATGTATATGATTATTGCCTAACAATGTTAACCTGTTAGGGTTGGTTGCTTTTTCGAGAGCAATAGGTTTCTCCAGCGGTAGACTTATCATGATACACTGGTAGTGGTACATCTCCCCAGTATCCGGTCTAGTGTAGCATGGGGCTAGCGAGGCCGCCTTCCCACATCTAGCGCACTTTTCTCCTGCCATCCCGTTCTGCAGTTGTCGGTGAGGTTTTGTTGGAAGCGACGCAAACATATTTAATATTGTAGTAGCAGAGGAATTGGTAAAACGGAAGGGTAACAGTTGTTTCAGAACTAAGCGGCTCTGTCATAAACTGTGCTATTGAAACCATCGGATTGGAAGGTTTACCGTGCCCATAGTCATTAAATTATAAGTAACAGCTTGATAATTGGAATTAGACGTTCGTTTGTTGACGAGTGTTGACAGAAACTGTTCGGATGTACGGTCATCTCGACATGAAGCCTACTCTAAGGAAACTTCGTGCAAAAATAATCGGCTTTGCTTGCCAAAATTACGTTAAAATCGTCCCCGACATCAACACAACCCGAGCAAAAGAAAACTGTAAATGATTGTTCGTGTCGAAGCGAAGAAAACGTGTTGTTGTTGGTACAGAAGTGATATCTAAGGAATTTTGCAGCCATACTAATAAACGGATTTATTATTTACTTTTAGTTCCTATAAATCATGAGCTGACTCAGGAAAAGCAGGAAGTCAATACGATGTGCACCTTTAATTGGTGTGATACAACTTTTAAAGGCTAGACTAAATCGAATGATCTAGAGGATTGAGCTTAGAAAGAAGGCAGAAATAAACTGAAGGCTAACAACCAGCGTGACCGGGAGACCAGTGTATTGAATTATGACAATTATCGAGCTAGTTATTATAATATTACATGAGCTGTGGACACCTAACTCTAAGCACACTCAGTGTAATCATTGTGGTTCTGAATAGCTAGCTGTTTAGCGTACTAGCTCTGTGATGAGTTGTACATTTCACATGCAGAGTGTAGACTGTAGATGTACATTTCATAGAATTTAGCTGCCAGATGTTCATGTAGCTGTACATTTCATAGAATATAGCTGCCAGCAGCCAGATGGTACTAAGCAAGAAATATTTAAATACCATTTGCAACCTGTGCTCACTGTGTGTGATCGCTGGAGAGGTGCTTCAACTTAATCCAAACTTACTCAGACTCTAAACCTACTCTACACCTACTCTAAACCTAAGCTGCCCAGTACAAGTATAGTTAATTATGAATTTAAGGAGGATTATTTTAATTTTAGTTCTTTTTGTTGAGGACCGGCCCGAATAAAAGTGCCAGCCAATGTTTACTAAAAATATATATGATATAATTGTAATTATTATCTATCAAAAGTCAAAACTCACACAACATTAAATATTGTAAAAAACTGTTCAGAATAAAGCTTTTAATACAAGCATAGCTGAGCACAGTTAAAGTTAATAGTGGCCTTTAGGATTTGCTAAGCCCATGCCGTGGTTGGTGGTGAATTTTTGATATTGTAACTATGGTGGTAATTGGTATCCAGTGAAATAGATTCAGTAATGCTTGTGGACGTGCATATGGTATTAAATTTAATACTGGTTTGTTATCAGCATTACGGTTATTGTTGCGCTTTGATTTCCTCAGTCCTGCTATATTATGTAACATAAAGTTGCAATCGGGGCGTTTTAAAGCAGTAACAGCTACGGCCAGGTACAGCTACAAAGTAAAAACAGATAATTATATTACGCTAGGCTTGGATCAGGTGCAAATATTGATTGACCGCTGCATTGCCGAGGTGTCATTTTTCAGAGTGTCGACATTTAAATCTATAGAATGTGAAAAGTTTCAACTTAATTCTTGACCATATTATTAGATTATTGTAACCCGACACTGAGTTGTTTTATTATACTTATTAAACTTATTTTTGTGGATAATCGTGGATGCAGCAGGCAGCTCCCATGGATTTATCTTATTAATCATATATAAAATGAAATGAAGCACGAGTATCACTCTAGTGTGTAGGTCGAGGAAATCACTAATGAGCATTTATTGATATTCAAAAGAAGAGTTCACTGTTTGTATTGCAGTATAATTTTACTTTTGAGACACGTTTCGGGCGGGGGCCTTGCAATATAATAAATTCAACACGTTCTTGATGTAAATATAATGAAATTAATAATATGACGAATAATTTAATAAACATCATAATAAATAATATGATATTTATAATATATATGGTAGACAATAAGTTGTCAGACGCTGTCCGACCATCATCTCATAGATGAAACGTAGCCGGGCCGGCGAAAAGGGTGCATGCGAACTGCGAAGCCGTACAAAAATTAACAATAAGATAAATTTATAATAATTATAATAATGCTCGTAGTTGAACGAATAACTTAACTGGTCGCCGGTAGCTCAATTGGTAGAGCACCAGGCATGTAACTCGGAGGTTGGCGGATCATACCCGCCCCGGCACTATGCCGGCCCATGATTTTCCGAATCGCTTACCAGTGGAAATCTAGTCAATTCAAATATCTGCTTGCTTGGTACTCATGGTCGATACAATCACAGCCCAACCAACTATACTTGATCAGACCGATTCACCTACATGTGCATACGCCATCTGGGAGCCGTCAGTTGAGCTTGCTCTCTGACTCGTGGGTTGAAAACATCGTGTACAGTACTTCGTGAGTAGTACAGTACTTCACAACGATAACCCGCCTCCCCAACCAAATCTCTTAAACTTAACTGGTTGTTGTTTATTAATAATAAAAGCCGTAAAACGGAACCTACAGGCAGCCCTCTTCTAACCATAGACTCTATATTGTCTATACTAATAGATATATGTGTAACTTAATTATTATCCTTTGAAATATTGAGTTAAGTTTAACTTTAACACCAAGAGCTGTACCTATTGTATAAAACAGGGAAAACAAAGCGTTTCATCCAGTGCATATCCACATGTAACGTAATACCCCTCCTGTCGCATAATAGGTGGCCCTTCCACTGCACAATATGATGACATCCGGACTCCAGACTAATGCAGATTAGATTTCAACGCTCTGGTATGATTTTTAAGACACCTGATTATCACACTTATGAGAGGGTTTAAAAAATATGCTTTGAGAAAAGTCACTTTCACCAAAATCACGTACTAAGATATTGGTATTTTTGGGAAAAAATGAGCGTAATTTTTAATCACCCCGCGGGCACTAGTATTTATATATATTTATTATACTGGCAGTAAGCGGTCGCGACTCGCGCTCTGTATTGGGTTCGTGCCTCCTTGGATTAGACGTGGTTTATTAGCTAATTGCAAGCTCAATATTATGTATTATAAAGGTTCCCGAAAATTTCAGGCAGAAACTGTTTGTTATAGAGTTTATAGAATTAGATAATTGAGTCTGAAGGTCGACCTAAATATGAATAGATTAGAAGAGGTCATTCTTAGAATTGTTATTATTTGACAGCTATCAGAGGATACTTATTCACTTATCTCAATTATAAGTCTGTCGAGCTAGCCTATTGTTTTAGTATTTAGAGGAGCTTATAAATAAATTTTATATCTTGTACCATCAACCCTCTGATCAACAATAAGAATAACACAAAACATTCCCCAAACTGAAACAAATGTTCAATAAACCGTGACCCACAAAAACTAACACAGCTGTGGCCTGTAGATTTGTGCTGATAATTTGTGTATGTAATTATGGACAGAATCTTATTTATTAAATAATTTTCTACATTTTTAGAAAAGGTATTATTTGAAAATTATCATAATTTCAGATAAAGTTGTGCTTAAAGGCTAAAACGAAAAAAACGTACACACCAAGATTGAATATTGGCCATCTAATAACATTAAAATCTTATCTTAGAAATGATATCCTTGGTAAATAAAATTACTTCGATGTAGACAAATTAAACTCACTTTGATTTTGTAGAAATAAGTCATCATTTATCATTCAACCAGTGGTCAAGAATTATTAGCAATAATAATCATTATTTCTTTGTTAAACGCTTCAATAGGTAAACTCGGCACATCATTATGATTAAGAGCCTCAAATCCAAAAAAACCGTTAAAAATATATATTGGCTGCTGTTCTATATAATGGATAAATCTCTTCAAATAATTTAAAAACTTCTTATATAATATATAGTGTTTATATAATTGATGAAAGGTCAGTAAAATGCCAGGATACAGTGCGTGGTGGCGAAGGAGAATAACGTACAAAAATGCTCGGTATTCACTGTAAACACATTTCTAAATATTTTCAGGCCGGAGTCACTTTTACCTGACGTCCGCCGGCGGATAAAATCCGTCTGACAACTAAATGAAATGTTCTCTTGAATTGAATATAATATATAGTTCATTCTCGTCGTTAAAGCCATACTCGTGCGTTATCTTTTGAAAATTTCGAACGTCTCTTATCAAAAATACAGGGAATATCCACATCCATGTTGAAACTTGTAACGTTGTAAAGAAAGCATCACTTTACTAACTGAACCGCGGTGTCTCCACAAATAATAGCAACAAGAAATTACTCAAATAGTATGTCACATTCCATTTGTAAACCCTACAAAGCATTGCTTGATCTTCTTAAAATATAAAATATCCTGATCACGCGTTGCTTTAGCGCTAAACTTTTATGTTATTAAACTTATCATAATTCTAATTCTAAGACATTCACAGTTCTATATTTTTCAATATAAACTAATCGTATCATCTCAATGTTCATCTTCAGACTTAACTCAAAACAAAATTGTGAGGTTCTGAGTACCAGTACCAATGCAAGAAAAATACAAAAAGTAATAATATCTTCAGCGCCAATATTATAGCCGCTTTGCAATGAAAATAATTCTGTGAAGTATGGACGATAAAGTTTGTTTGCAGCAGAGTTTGCTGGCAGAACTTGACTTAACAGACATAAAATTAAGTAAATTCCCAATATTGTACATTTAAAGGTCTATTAACATATTTTCAGGCTTCTAAATTACTTTGGTAGAACGTTGTCGATAAACCAGGACTGTATGTTCCCAGCGGGCCAGTAGTTAGCCACAGTTACAAATGTGTTACCAATCTGACCAGTCGCCACTCCCACTTTCCATGATCCTGCAACAATTGGTTTGAAGTATTATTTGTGCCGATAAAAAGCTATACTATGAACAGGAACATTTTATGAACATGTATATTTTATAAACAGGTACATTTTGTGAACAGGTACATTTTATGAACAGGTATTTTGAGAAATTAAAGATGTAGATTGCAAATTTAAATCGTAAAACGTCTTATTATAGTCTTATTATAAAGTCAGATAACGAAACTGTCAAAAATTAAGCTTAGACCTTAATAAGCATAATGATTTGTAGTTATCAATTGAATCTTATGGCCTACCCTTCCAGATAATTTGACAGAAGTGTGAGTAATTGTTACTGTACTCATTACCTACCCTTCCAGATAAGTTGACAGAAGTGTGAGTAATTGTTACTGTACTCATTACCTACCCTTCCAGATAAGTTGACAGAAGTGTGAGTAATTTTTACTGTACTCATTACCTACCCTTCCAGATAAGTTGAAAGAAGTGTGAGTAATTGTTACTGTACTCATTACCTACCCTTCCAGATAAGTTGACAGAAGTGTGAGTAATTGTTACTGTACTCATTACCTACCCTTCCAGATAATTTGACAGAAGTGTGAGTAATTGTTACTGTACTCATTACCTACCCTTCCAGATAAGTTGACAGAAGTGTGAGTAATTGTTACTGTACTCATTACCTACCCTTCCAGATAAGTTGACAGAAGTGTGAGTAATTGTTACTGTACTCATTACCTACCCTTCCAGATAAGTTGACAGAAGTGTGAGTAATTGTTACTGTACTCATTACCTACCCTTCCAGATAAGTTGACAGAAGTGTGAGTAATTGTTACTGTACTCATTTGCTTCGTAGTCAAATAATTCCTCCTCCTCATACCAGTTATTGATTACTCTCGTAGCTGCCTCGTGAGTAGACAGGGTACTATTACACGACTGTGAAGTTTAGTTGGTTTAAATCTGCTTTAATGTTTGGGTATAGTTCCAAGAGAAAATGCAAGTTCAATGGTTTTACTTTTAACTCAATACTCATATACACTGTACAGTGTACAGGGCCCACGAATTAGGAGTTTATATCATGATATTAGAATTTAGTTTAACAAATGATCATAATGATAATACCCACACCTGCACGTAGAGAGTCTCCCCCATTCCTCGATAACTATCGTGCTGTAGTTGGAGCTCGTGGGGCTCTTTACCCTCGTTTATTTTCAGAATATGTGCCACCCTGTAGGGGATTAATGTGAAACATGTGTTGGTGTGAGGTGCGGTGGTTAAAGTTTTCCTGACCGACTCAAACCTTTGGACTCAAGACAGAGAGTTCATTTTTAGCACAGGAACTGATTATTAACATGGTAACTGGCATTGGCAAGTCCATGACTTCAATAATTGTGGTATACAGATTACCATTTCTTTGATTGATTTTAGGATTAATTGCAGTATATTACCACTTCTTTGCGTGGTCCTCAAGCAGTTTGCTCCAAGAAAAACCAGGACTGTGATGGAGGGCTCTCAGTGTATTCATGTGCTCCAAACTGAACTGTTGGAACTCTCCCAGACTGAGATATTAAATTTAGTTGTGAAGTTTTTTGCTAATTAACTACAATTAACTAATTTTGTTGCTAATTGATTAATTGAAGTCTCACACTTCTCTTTTTTAGTTTAAACACAAATATTGTGAGAAAGTCCCAGAATACGGTTAGAAAATACTGTGTCCCAGTGTTCCATTGTTTTAATACCGGTTAAAGCTGGTCCAGGTCGTTTACTGTACCTTTCAACATCAGTAACTGGTTCGAGAGCAATGCTTTTCTCCAGTGGTACGCTGATCATGATGCACTGGAAGTGGTACACCTCCCCCGTATCTGGTCGAGTGTAACACGGAGCAAGCTGGGCCCCTTTGCCACATCTCATACATTTCTCTCCTTCCATCCCGTTCTGTAGTTGACGGTTGGGTTTTGTTGGAAGAGCAGAAAGCATAACCAGTTTCACTCGTACGAAGTAATACGCGTACGCCACAAAATACGAATAGAAGAAAACCGAAGTTAAAACGTTACGATGTGTGATCGAGATTGCAAAATCTCAAAGGGTTAGGTGGGTAGGGGAAGTGTGTTGACAGAATGAAGAATTTCTAGCTAAAAGGTGACATGAAGCCTTTAGTAAGCAGTATTAATAACATATACTTGCACCGTGCTCCGTGTCACTGGATCAGTCACATTGTGACTTGTGTGATCATGTATAATATGGTAGGCTTAATTATTAACATTAATTATACTCCAAGCAACATTTGGAGTAGACTATTAGGGATCTTAAAGTCAAAATCTAATTTCCACATTTACAGTCAAAATGACACAAAATGACACAAAGTGAGCACAAAATGACACAAAGTGAGCACGAAATGACTCAAAGTGAGCACGAAATCACAATAAAACCTCAAACGATGCGTTTATAATCGCTTGAAATATTTCAAATCAAGAATGATGAGAATATACTGGAAAGAACACGAGAGGATTACTATATTAAAACACTTTCAGGCACATATACATGATAGTTAAAGTCATTGTACCTAAATCGTATAATGGAACAGTGAACAGTCATACTCTTAAAGGAGATTTCGCACCTTTTCCTACATTGCACATTTGTAATACTGATAATGTATGTACTGTATTTATAGGGGGCCGATCAACTAAAAGGATGTTTATGTTATATTTTGGCCTATCAAATCTATATCCCATTATATTTGGTCAGTATATGCCAACAAGTCGGAGTGTACGAAAGGACAATAACCAGATGAAGTCGGCAAGCTTGATTATGACGCTTGTTTAATGTTTATAACACTTGATTATAGCAGTTGATTATAACACCTCTACAAACTGCAACTAGAGCCAAATTTTACTCTGTTTTGGAGTTAATAATGTATTATATTCAAATCGCATGAATTTGGCAAAGACTGATTTTGACTCTAAGACAACTATATTTTATATGCCCGCATGTGTTTTTTTGTGTTTTTTGTGTTTTTTTTTTCGAGTATCCACTTCTTGTTTTTCTGGTTTTTATCGGTGTGTCAATAAAATCAATTATGTAATATGTATACTTTAACGGCCATTTTTTGCGACAGTTAATCTGATATTATCTCCTTAACATTATTTAGTATTTTTTGATTTATGAGACCCGTGTTTTGTTTTTAACTTTCTGCTCCGAAGAGAAGAGAAAGTTATTTGAGGAGAGCCGCTCAGACATGGGCACCGTATTGTGTAAATTATTTAGTTATCTTTATACAATATCTTTGTCGCATAGTAGCGGGGTAGTAAATACAGTGTTTCGTTTCGTTTCGTTTCGTATGCCCGCATGACTACAACACATGTATGATGTAGGAATGTGTGTTGAACTTGGAAAAACTTGAAAGTGTTTCTAGATTCTGAATGCGTGCATGAAATTTACGAAGGAAGCAATAATAATTTAATTATGAAGCGCTACTAATGGCTTCTACAAATTGAAATAGAGAAACGGATGATGTTTTCCGCTGAATCAAGTAAAACTGAAGCTATTACAATATGTTGTTATCCAAAATTGACTCGTCTGCTATTATGCATTCGGGATGTGACAGGGACAAAAGGATTTCGCGGCATGTACGAAATCGCGAAATTTCCCATTCTCCGCGACAAATTTTATGTATAGTTTAATGTATAGCCTGTTAAATTTCGCGGTACCGCGATTTTTGGCAAAAATAATCGCGAAATCCTTTTGTCCCTGGGATGTGATAACTCAAAAGAAGGAAATTAGCTAGACAATTAGATGACAGACAACGATTACGAATATACTGATGAAAGTCTTTCAAGTATCTCCGATTATGTTTAAAGTCTATTTACTAATAGTAACCCCCACAGTTATGGCCATCATGAATATTTTCTGGGAACTAGTTTGCCACAACCATTTCTCCATTTATGTGGAGGAATGTGTTGTTTCTCAGAAACCACCCCAAAAAGTTGATCTCATATTTGCTATTAGGAAGGCACTCAGGAGCCCAGTATGGGCCGTATGGGGTCAGAGCCGGGTGTTAAATGACAGCTGCGAATGAAAGTGTTTGAAAACTCTGAGGGGTACCACTACGGGCTTCTAAATCAATATTTATTAAATAACAACAATCTAAAAACAAACTGTAATAATATAAATATCTATCATATTAATATATTCATGTCGATGACTATAATGATATAATCTTTAGGTAAAATAATACCGAGTCACATTAAGATATAATGTAAATTTAATTTAAAGTGTTTTTACCATCACGAATCCAGACATTTTTTACCTGGGGACCCCAGGCTAAATTAAATATTCATAAATTGCCTTTTCCATCTTCATAGTTTATTAATATTATTTCGACTATAACTGTAACTTCATAAGTTGTGTTTAGTTGTATATAATTATTAATTATAAATTATGGCCATTGCGAACGCACTTTAATTTTTCGCTAAATCACAATACCAAAAATCAGATTTATATTACAATCGTTCACAATTCTCATATAAATGTGCTAGTTGCGGTTACTTTGAACTTCCAATTTCGATTAGCGATGGTCAGAACACTTTATAAAAACCCTCATTCGTCTGCCCTATAATGTGCCATTTCCATTGAGATCCTAACAGCAAACATTAAACCCTATACTCTGACTCATACAGAACCTTTGAGGTAGTAGTCGAAGAGAAACATAATTATTAAGATAATAAATTAACAGTGAGAGATAAAAATTAGCAGTGACAGATAAAATCAGTATCACATTTTAATGTGCTTATTAGAGTAAATCTAAACTAAATCTAATTGGTAAAAATTGAAATGCAGCGACGAGCGAATTCAGTTTCCATGAAAGTTGTCGTGTGAACGTGGTGTTTGTGCATTTTTTTTTGCAATTGCAAGCACTGTACCGTTCAGCTCAAGTTTAAAAGTACGTACCTACCGTACAGCTATTTTTAAAGGTACGTAGGTACCGTACGTATTTCTCATCTTAGGACGATATATATCTGTATATATCTGTTGCTATTTTACTGACATGCCACGTCATCAACTTTAACACAACTTTCCGCGAAAACCGTGAGAGATATTATTGAAACATTTTTGACTGGGTCGAATGCTTTTATGGCCTTTTGACCAGTATGAAGACTGAAGAAATTAAAAATTGGCCAATGAATAAGAAATTTGGACCCCCAAGTGGTGTCAAAACCTCTAAATAAATAAATGTTGTCTCTAGACACCACTTTAGAGTTAGAACTTAGACGGGTTCCTGCTAGTAGTAATAGTAAGGGGTCGTTCACTTATTACGTAATCAATTTTTGGCTAATTTTTAACCCCCCCCCCCCTCCGTAATCAGTTTTACACATAGCTATTGTGGTAAAATTACACTAGCGTAATCATTTGGGAACCCCCCTCCCCCCTCAGCTGATTACATAATATTTGAACGACCCCTAAACGGATCAACGGCCATTTAGTTTTAAACTATTACTATAGTCAAAAATTGTTACTGATTGAAGGCAAAATGGTAAATTTAACAAAGAATATTATTGTTTAAGCAAAGCATAGAATGCCAAGTGCCAACATGTCCAATATCGATCTGTCGCATATATTAAGTCTGGAAAAGACTACGCAGGATTTATTTATACGTCGGATTGTGGATGTGTCATGCACTGAGCAGTGGGAAGCATACATACTGCAAACGACATTTCAAGTTTGATGCATATTTTGAGCTCTTTTCTTGATCTCACATACTTTAGAATTTGCACCTGTCTGGAAGAAAGCAGAGACACGTACCTGAATTCCCTGTTTCAGAAGTATATATATATATAATTTAAACTGAATAAGTTCACCTGAGCTTATAAAATTATAAGTGTAAAATGTAACATGAATCAATCCAAAGCTGTCATAAAACTAAAAGCTGCTATTTTTGCGAAGTATTCTGAACGTAGGTTGATAATTGCTGTGTTATTATCGTCACGATAAATCGAGACACGATATTATCGTGTCTCGAATTGTGTCCATATCATTTACATTTCACTGCATGAAGGAACGTTATATTTTCTCACCGGAACTTCAGTTACAGCTACCACTCAACTGTTAGGCTTAAAGTAGAGCATGTAATTAAGTATCACCGTGACATTGATAACACATGCTCAGGAGTCAGGAGAGAGAAATTGTAATTCGAATTGAAAATTCAGGATGGTTGTAATCATTTCTAATCTTACAGCAGTGAAGTACGAAGCCTTTTTATAATTATTGTAGTTTACAACTACATTTGTATTTTGTGTGTCTAGATTTGAGGCCAATGTTTAAAGATCGAGAAGATGACTTTAGCCAAGGAAGAAGTGACTTAATGAAAAATGACTTCAGTGAAGGAATTCAGTCTGGAACTAGCTTACAGTAGCGAGAATAACACATAACGAAACAAATTTAATGAATAAACTTTAACGAATGAATTTATCATATCTGGCACATATACGCTACGAACTAGCGTAACTTTTATATGTTGAAAGTCAAATATTTCTTCAAGCAACTGCTTTGTTAAACGAAATTATACGCCGGAAAATAATAACAAATAAAAAACTATAAATCATATAAAATATACAGCAAAATAAGTTGCCATACCGAGAACTGTACAAAATTTACTAACACTGGATCAGACCCATGCCCAAGCTACCAAGAAGAAGCTTTCTCAGAACACTACAGGGTGAAGCATTTAGGTCAGGTACCTGATTTTACATTTGAACTATTGGGGTCTGAACTCTGAGCATAATACTATACTAAATATTTCTTATAAAGAGTTCTTGAGCACATTTTACATTTGGTTCAGTGTGGTGTGTTGTACGTACAATGTAATATGCGGCTAATAAACAATCTCCCGATCATTAAACTTGTAACTATTATAATACAACAACAATGTACAAATTCGCAAAATCGAATAGACTGCACGCGAGGAGTGATTTGTGTGCAGAATAATGTACAGCTGAAGTACAAAGTAGAGTGCATGATGTTGAGTAACAGTTATTACATGACACTTAAACATTTTATCTGTAATGTTAGAATGTTTGGTCATGTGCGATACATATCACATAATACCTCTTGATCTCCGATAATTCGTTAAAAGAGTTATCTGTTTATCAGATAAAAATCTTACGAAAATAATTGATACCATCGATAAATACCAGAAATTCTACTTAATCTGTCTCAATGAAACAACAATTTTAAAAACCTTATACCTTACAAGACATATTTATGGCGGCCTAATTTGCGACGACCGAAATTTTGGCGGTCCGAAAATATGGCGAAATTGAACAAAAACCGTCAAATTTCGGACGTCACAGAAAATAAGGGTATTTTTCATCATTTTTTGTGACAGTAAGCAGTAAGGAAATTTCTGAAATTCGGTAAAATCATGTCCAAACTTAGTCTGTATTAAGACTGTAAGACTTTCATGTTAGCACATACATGTATTTTAATGCAAATTTAAACTGTATTGCTTGACATTCAATTCGTCATTGGTGGGGTGATAATTTGTCCCAAGATGCCAGAATTTATTTATTTTATTTCAAAATTCAAATAAACTTTACATCAATGTATTACAGTTATATTCAATAGAAAAGACCACAATATCTCCTGTGAAGCAAAAATTTTACTTGATATTACTTTTTAGAAACAAAATAAAGCAGTGAAGGCACAGTCATTGAAATAAGCTAAAAGATAATGCGACGGATTCTATTACGACGACCGAAATTTTGGCGGTCCGAAGATATGGCGAAATTTTCGGAAAACCGCCACATTTCGTACGTTATAGATATGTCTTGTAAGGTAAATGACATTGCAGAATGTTCAGCCATTTTGCACAAGCTTTTTAAATTCAGTAATCTCCTCTCTAACTAAACTCAGTGCATGGAACGTTTCCTCAGAACACTCCATAACGGATAACCTAATACCATCAGCTTTGAGGAAAATAAAGAATGGCTGGAAATTTACGGGTCAATTGTTTACAGGAATTCCGTCTTCTTCAAAGGACCACTGTTGTATAATATGATTTTAAAAGCAGAACCAACCCCACCATCAGCATATCACTCAATATTGAGCATCTTCAAAAATCATACAAAAGAGGTCCTGATTAAAATACAAAAACGAGGAGAACTTCATAGCATAGCTGGGAAATTGAAAATTTTACCTTAAAATATTTGTGGACTCCGTCAGTCCTCTATAAATCACAAAATTCCGACTTTAATGTACACGGAGAACTAGTTGCCTAACGCGATAATTAACTCTGCAATTTTTATATCACTGACCGAATGTTAACACATGTAATGTTCCAAAAAATACCTATATATTATTGATTATATTATATTGAATGGATTTCAATTGTGACAGAATTTTCTACCAACACATGCATGAGCGCTTCTGGCGACTAACTCGATTAAAAACTTTTTAAATTTACACCTTATCTAAATTTTCTTATAAAAACTATGTTAATTTAAGATTATAATAAGAAACATAATTTGAACAAAATACCATGAAGTCGCCAGGGGTACTCCTCACTCACCATTTTCATACGGATCATATTTGTGTGCTTTTGTACGTTTTTATATTTTTCTATGATTGATGTAAATAAAATTGTTGAGGCGTTAGTGCCGAGTTTACTTCTGGTGAACTCCCCGAATAAAACAAACATCTAGATAAAATAAATTTGTATCAGTATAAAAACTTACTAGAAATAACCAAAAATACTGCAACAATACAATGAAATTTGAAGAAAATACTAGTGGTTTTGTCTCCAAAAGATTTTAAACCGATAATGTACAGCTTACCCACCACACAACCAAGACGAGCTGCACTTAAATTGAAGACCAGCTCTGAATCTTTTCTTCTCAGCTAGCTCAGTACAATCGCAGGTCACTGAGTGGGGCGTCTGCAATTTGCCGGACAAATCACAGGAAGGGTAATCTTTCGGGAATTCAGTTTGGGAAAACATATAGTTTCCTTAGTTAATGACAAAACCCATTCCTTCCAGCAGATGTACATGCGCGTCACAGTGAAAAAACCAGACGACAGGATTGTCAGTGTTAATTCTTAGGGCAACAGCTCCTCCAGCGGGCATGATGACAGTGTCTTTCAGAACACCCTGAGTTGGTCTCCTCATCAGCTGCTCTATTGGCTTTGAAAATGCTGTTGCTGGGTCTAGAAGTGGACACGCTTTGTTAGCACACGTTGCAGTTCCTCTGGTGGCGATCTCTAAAACCTCGAAGGTATGTCCATGAAGATGCATCGGGTGATTGCCGAAATTTTTATTTCTAAGAACTATGGTGACTGATTTATTCGTAGGTAAAGATAGGACTAGCGAGTGCGGGCTCAGTTCATATGTAGCAGACGCCATAATACTCGGTTTTTGTGAGAGTATATTCTGGGTAAATGCATTCTTATTTATTGAGACGAACCATCCTCCCAAGAAATCGAAATCAACCGTATGAAACTCTTCTGCTGAATCAAGTGAATCCTGTAGCACAGCTGGAACAAGATCGGTAACAGGATGACACCTAAAATCGGGTTCATCGAAATATTTACAATTAAGGATTTCCAACTCTTTCATGTTGACTTTTAGATGCTTGCCTGGGGGAACTAAGTCGTTGTAATCTACGGATTTGTCTTTCCTCACTCTTAAGATACCCAAAATTCCTTTGTCTTGGTTCTTTGACGTTGTCATTGCTCTAACCCAAATATTTTCAGCCGGATTCGTTATGTTAAAAGTTACTAACACATCATATCTCTCTCCAACATGAACCTGTATGACATCAGTTTCAAAGGGTTCTACAGAATGTCCATCAGTGGCAACCACGGTAGCTTGTATCCATCAATACTAAAGAAGTAGGCAAAATTGTCACCACCATTTATGATTCGAAACCTGTATTCACCATTTCGTATCTTCATTTCATGCTGTTCTTCTCCATTTAGTACCCCAGATGCCCATGCAAACACTCCGCTTCCACTAGATCCTTCGAAACTCTTATCAGAAAATTTAACTTTGGAACTCTGCAACAATGGGAAGTCGAAGCCTAAATAGTTTGGATAGAGGTCCCTGTAGAAAAGAATTATTTCATTCCCCATTTGGTATGAATCTTTGAGCCCAGCCTGGTCATGATTGATGGTTGCGTCGATATCATGAACGACTAGAGGTCCCCTGATAAATTTTTGGCCAGATGGGTTCCACTTATTATGGGAGTGGTACCAGTAGGTACCGGGCTGTTCATTGACCACGAAATGGTACAGATACGATTCCCCTGGGGCTATGGGACACTGTGTAACACCTTCAACGCCATCATATATTTGTTGTCCTTTCATGTGAAATCCGTGCCAGTGGATGGTCAATCCACCATCTGTTAGCCCGTTTTTCACATTCACAGAGAGGGTCTCACCTTTTTTCACGTGAATGACTGGCCCTTTAATATGTCCATGGATGGTGTTCACAATGTAGGTTCGATCACCGATAATTTTAGCTGTTTGTTTAGTTTCAAAGTTATACTTTCTAACACCTATTTCGGAACCAGAGCGTACCGATACAAGTGCAACAGCAATAAGAGCACCCGCTAGAACTAATGCTAGAATGCCACCGATGATAGCCAGTTGCAGTCTTCCCATCCTGCGAGATTTCCCTGGTCTTGATCCTTATAGAGGTAGAGTTTTACCAGCTCCAGGACTGGAGGGACTCTCTTCCGGAGGAAGGTCCGCCATTTTTATTCCTGAATTGTTGCTTATGACTTGAGTAAAAAGAATAGGGTACAAAATAATTATCGTACTTACAGCTTTATTAAGACTGGTATAATGACATTTCTTGCCTAAGACTGGTATAATGACATTTCTTGCCTAACGGTATCTCAAAAGTTTAAATAACTTGTGCAACTCTCGTTCCTAATGTTTTGATTATCAAATATTATATGATAGTAAACTAATTGTTTACTGTACGTGACGATTGCTTACTGTACGTGACGTGTTTGTTTACTGCACGTGTGATGTGCGTTTTTACTGCACGTGTGGCGTGTGTTTAGACTGTACGTGACGTGTATTTACTGTACGTGACGATTATTTACTGTGCGTGACGTGTGTTTTTACTGCACGTGTGATGTGTTTTTATACTCTACGTGTGATGTGTGTTTAAAAAACTATAGTTGGTTCGTGCGCACTTTACACATTTTAAAAACACAACACACCAAATTGAAACGACCTAAATTCACGCATTTAAGAAGCTTATAAAAAAATTTTAAATTTTTATCCAAACCTACGTGTGGCGTGTGTTTAGACTGTACGTGACGTGTATTTACTGTACGTGACGATTATTTACTGTGCGTGACGTGTGTTTTTACTGCACGTGTGATGTGTTTATATACTCTACGTGTGATGTGTGTTTAAAAAACTATAGTTGGTTCGTGCGCACTTTACACATTTTAAAAACACAACACACCAAATTGAAACGACCTAAATTCACGCATTTAAGAAGCTTATAAAAAAATTTTAAATTTTTATCCAAACCTAGGATCGCCTGCAAGATCTAAGGCAAACGCACATTACGTACTTTTCCCGAAAAAATTACGCACAAACCAACTATGAATTTAAACAATTAACTGCAAGGTTGTAAATATTAGAGGCAACACTCTATTTATATATGTGCGACGGGTACAGAATCGCACTTTTAGCCGTTGGACGCATATATTGATATATTCGCACTAAACTTGACATTTATCCGCGTTATCGCACATATTTGCACACAAACAAAATTTATTCAATTAAAATTCGTACAGAGATCAGCCATGAAGGATGGTTCAGAAAATAAAAGGGAAAAAGTCGAAAGAGTTTGATGGTTGAGAAAGTTGTGCAACTTGTACGAGGGTCTGTGGCTTTATACCAGGACGTGACGTGACACGTTACCTATGTAATCGATAACGTGACACGTCACCAGTCACGTATCTAGTATAACTATAAATAAGAAGGGTTTTTTATTCCCTATTAGTTTATATTTATATTACCCTAGCACTAAAGCTAAAGTGAGTTACCGACGATGCGATGATATGCACTCCTCGAGATTAATTGAATTTGCATTTTTTTCTTTCTATGTCAATTTTCCATCCCTATACAGTCACGATCGTTTCCAACCGTCACGATCTTTTCCGACCGTCACGATCTTGTTTTGCAATCAGAACTGAAAGTTCTTACTTCTTGCAGCGGATCTGACCAGGCCAATGTCTATCGTCATTTAAGTGTCTTTTTGCTTTTGTGACTGACCAACTTTTCCAAACTTTTAAAAGCTTTTCCACATGCTAAAGGCCATTCAAATTAACAAAATAATTTTTAATTCTTAAAGTCATAATACAGCGTTACTTACTTGGGTTACTTGGGGTTGCTTCATAGATCCTCTATCGGGTCATCAGAACGGCTGACCACCCGTGCAGCGAAGTTGCTGTCTTTTCTGCGCTCCAGTTCAATAACGAATTCCCGTTCTGGCAACAATATCCAGTAACAGGAGGTTCGTCCGGATGATGTAACAAATTCCGTCAACAATGACTTGAAGCGTAGGGGGTCCTCGATAAGGTGCAGGTTTGCGGGAATGATGTTCCACAATCGAGGCCCCATCACTACAAATGAGCTGTCAAAGATCGATTGATTCCTTTGGCTACTGGACGTTGACAAGCTAGGGACTACTGCTTTCTGGCCATAACGGAGTGTATCTGTAAACTGAACGTTAGCTGGTTACACTTACAGGTTAAATTACAAGTGGTCCTTAGGTGCAAAAAACGATGTTGCAGGATTAGTGAATAGTGCAACTCAATTGTTGGCCAACAATTTCAAAATTTGTATAAGTTTTAAGTTTTAATAATTAATAATTTCTCATCTTCCTGTAATTAGTTGGAGTTTGACCAATATAAAGCTAAAAAAGAAGCTGATAAAGGAAATAACGCACATAAATTATTTGAGTTTTCTTGTGGTGTACCTGCGACGAAATTTTTTTGCCCTTGATAATGAGCCATCTCGATCTTTGATTTTTGTTTTTAAACATGAGTTCTGTTTTTTGGTTTATAGCGGTTCAGAGGAAACTCCGGTCATGATCATTTTTCAACGGATTCTGGGTATGACGTTAGCACGAAGTTACCACTTACCAGCCTTCGAGCTATTTTTACATTAGGTACGTGTTCGCATTTAAAACCTTTCTCCTGGTCTTTCCTGGAATGTGAAAATTTATTCTCAATTTCGATCAAAGTTGTAGATGATTCATTAGTTTACACGTTTTCTGCAGCTGCATTTTGCAGAGTCATAATTTGATCTGGATCATATATGTTTTTTATATTAATTACAAATTAGGTCAAGAAAGATCACAAACACTGTTCATTTTCATTCCTAGCCCGGTCATGAACTAAAGTTCGACACATACACTAAATTAATGGGCGGCGCTTAGCCTGTCATTCTGCCGCATCTTTATTCGGTTTATTATGTTTATGAACATAATAGATTGAGATTCCCAGGTAAAGCTGTTCCTAGGCAACGACGCAGTTAACCTTTGCTAAAATAACGCCATTATTTTAACGTTAATTTTACCTCACTTCCAACGTTAATTATAAAAAATCTAAAGCCTAAATTGAAATTCTAAGAATGCTGTCTCCTATTCTTTTGTCTATAACCTTGCTAAAGATAAAAGTATGAAATTGTGTACTGCAAATATAATCATATAATGCATACGAGTTACCGGTAACGTACTGGGTGGCCCAAAAGTAACTGCCCACACGCAACCCTTTAATAACTCACGTAATTCAATTCTTAGAATTGCACAGAAATTTCAGAGATTATGGATACTATAGCAGGAACCCGTATGGTGTGAAGACTCAAGAGACTAAAATAATTATTACATATTTAATTCGCGTGCAGACTAACCTACCTGTGGCTAAAGCTCTAATAATAATATACAAAAACAATACATTGACACCACTTGGGGGTCCAAATTTTGGGCTCTAAAACTCCTATTCCTTTGCCAATTTTTATTTTTTCATGCTGATTTGGAGGCCATTAAAACATTTGACCCAGTCAAAAAATGTTTCAGTTGTACATCTTTTACGATTTTTGCGGAAAGTCGCGTTAAAGTTGATGCAGTGGAGTTCAGTAATAGCACATTCAGTTCAGTAATAGCACATTCACATTTGCTGCTGATTTGTTGCTCTCTTATCGCAAGGCTTATCTCTACTGTTATCACGACACCGCTCAGCCTGTCGCTCGTCTTGTATTGTGTAACTTTAACTGTAATCATGGAAAAGATGGACTTGGAAAGTATTAACTACAGGTGGGATGAGATTTATTCTTGGAGCAAAGAGCAGTTGCGGAACTTTGGCAAACCGTACGGAAAGATGACGGACATAGCAGATCCGAAGTTTGCGAAATCAGTGAATAAGCCAGAACTTGTTGGCATTTGTAGTCGGTCTTATGAGTACATTGGCTATTTAATGGAAACTTTGGAGTCGTACCGAAATTGCTGCACAACTCTTCAGGCAAAGTTGATTCAGAACCAGGAAACTCTCATCAGCGTTCAGCAGGAGCTCTCTCAGTGTCAGTCCGAGAAACTGGAATCTATGAAGAAAATCGTGGAAACCTCAGTCGCTGATTCATTTAAAGAGGAGATTAATCTCATTAAACTATATAAAAAAAATAAGTATAAAGAATAAGGAAAAGGAACGGGAATGAAGCCAATACCAGAAGTGAAACCCCACCAAAGAATAATTGATCCTTAGGTAGACCTGGTGAAATAAAGTAACTGAACTGTAAGTTTAAGAAAAGACGGAAGGAATAAAGGAGAGAGGAAATAATGTTATGTGAACATCATCAGCAGATGACTTGGCACACCGGTTTCGGGGGTTTAATACCTGTACCGGTTTAATGTGCCAAGACCCCCTAGCAATCACTCGTCAGTGATCACCTGTTCACGTTAAATGTGATGTCAAGGATGTCGCTGACATCAAGTATACTGTATTTGTACAGAATACTAGGTCGGTCTTTCAGAAGCTTTCTGAATTTACTCTTCAGGAGTCTGTCATTATAACATCTTGAAAGAAGTGTCCTATAAAGGGTGTTGGTAGAACACAGAAAAGAATCAAGGTCAGAGATAATGGAAGAGTAACGAAGGACCTGACCGTAAAAAACATTATAACCAACAGAAGAGGAAATATTACTGTTAGGAAAGGTGTACATGACCACAGGAAAGTTGAAGTCATCAAGTTTGTTGTAAAGCTTGGTGGCGACGTGTCCGGAGTTATTCATCGAGATGTTGATGTCGAGATAGTTTACGGACTTATTGTCGTCACCACTCCTCTCTTACAGCGCAATTGTCAGCAATTCACAGACGGTAACTGCCCCAGTTATCTGCCCAGAAGCCCTAAAAAATGTTGTGAAGACCGTAGTCGCAGAAGAGGACCGTAGTCGAAATCTTCTTGTTTTCGGTTTGCCGGAGGAGGAGCAGGAAGAGTTAGAGGTAAGAATCGGCGAGGTTCTAGAGGAAATAGGGCAGAAACCGAAGGTGGAAGTAGAGCGACTCGGCAAGAAGAAAACTTCTACCTGTACTCGCCCAGTGAAAGTCTGCCTGACCAGCTCCTTGATCGTACATCAAATCTTAGCAAACGCTCGGAAATTGCGACAATCAGCCAAGTTTAAGACTGTGTTTTTGAGCCCTGACAGATCACTGGAGCAGCGGGAAGCCCGAAAGGAGCTGATTGCCAGCATGAGAGCTAAAGCTTTAGCGGAGCCGGACAAAAAGTTTTACATTAAGGGGAGATACACCAAAAACGTTTTTGCTCCGAACATCGATTTATTTTATATTATGGTTAAATAGACAAAAAGAATAAGATTGCACACCTTCAAAATTTTCTAAAAATATTCCCTCATCGAGAAAAAAAAATTTTTCTTTTTCGAAAATTTTTAAAATTTGGAGAAGTCTATCACTGTAATACCGATAGTTCAGTCATTTTAAAAGTTTTTTGGCTGATTTTTTTACTGAACATTACTTACACTCCGTACAGGACAACCCTTTAAAGGAGTATATAATTGAACAATAAATGACCAAGTTACAGACCGAACAAGGTGAAAAAAGAAAAATTGGGATTTTTGCCTACCACCAAAGTTGTACATTTTACCACTCGCCTAGGTCATCAGATATCGCTTCAAAAATTCTTGTGAGTGTAGCTGATGATCATATAAAACTTTTCGGAACAGGATTTCTCTCAGTTTTGAGTTTTAAGGTATGAAATGTGGCCTCAAAAGACTTAGTAAAATTCATTGTAAAAAAGGGCAAAAAAGGCAGATTTAAGGCTTAAAATGCCTATAACTCAAATAGTATCAGTTTTTTTTTGAAATAATTATTACAGAATCGTAATCAGCTTGGTAAGACGAATCTTTTAGTACCAAATAGGTGCTTTTAGAAGACAAATTGTCTTAAATAATTTTCTAGCTCGAACACAAGGGTCCCCCCTTGTATAAATTTTGTACAAATTGTACACATTTTTTTACAAATTTTGTGTCTTTAAATATTATAAATGTCATACTAAAAGATTCGTCTTACCAAGCTGATTACGATCCTGTAAAAATTATTTCAAAAAAAACTGATACTTTTTGAGTTATAGGCATTTTAAGCCTTGAATCTGCCTTTTTTGCCCTTTTTTACGATGAATTTTACTAAGTCGTTTGAGGCCACATTGCATAGCTTAAAACTCAAATCTGAGAGAAATCCTGTTCCAAAAAGTTTGATATGATCATCAGCTACACTCACAAGAATTTTTGAAGCGATATCTGCTGACCCGGGTGATTGGTGAAATGTACAACTTTAGAAGTGGGAAAAATTTCAATTTTTATTTTTTCGACCTTGTTTGGTCTGTAACTTCGTCATTTATCGTTCAATTATATAATCCGTTCAATTGCTTCTTGTACGGATTGTAAGTAATATTCAGTAAAAAAAAACAGCGAAAAAATGTTTAAAATGGCTGAACTATCGGTATTACAGTGACAGACTTCTCCAAATTTTAAAAATTTTCGAAAAAGAAAAATATTTTTTTTCTCGATGAGGGAATATTTTTAGAAAATTTTGAAGGTGTGCAATCTTATTCTTTTTGTCTATTTAACCATAATATAAAATAAAATCGATGTTCGGAGCAAAAACGTTTTTGGTGTATCTCCCCTTAAGGAGGGACAGATATTCAGCTGTAGTCGCAATTGAGTGTATTTATCAGTACATGTGTGATAATGCTTGTTTTTCAGTGTGAGTGAAGTTTTAGTTAGTGCTAAGCGGGTGCCTACTAGGCTTTTAACTTTCTATACAGGACTGGATAGTCTTCAGACTGTTTTAAAGCTTATTTTTAGTGCAAGAGTTGGTTGCTAGGCATTGCATTTATCTAAGCAGCGCCTGTATTCAATAATTAATGAAATCTTATTAGCGGATTTAGGTATATAATTATTGTATATATTATTGTATGTATAAATTCTTGAGTAAACATTAACCAGTAAACAAAGCTGGTTCCCAATCAATCAGTAAAATGGCACGGATACATCCATTTATAAATGTATATATCGTCTCGCTTTATATACAGTAAAATTAAGATTTGTCAATGTTCCATCGTTTAACTGTAAGTCGGGTGAGCGACAGGCTTGTTCAAGAGCTTTGACTCTTTAGTCTTTACCCTTGGTGTAGGGCTCTTCGAATAGATATCGGAAGGGCCTGCCTGTATTTATAAGTTAAATGTTAAAATTCAAAGTAAGTTTTATCGTACAAAATGTGTCCAAAATGTGTACGAAAAGGGAAACAGGGCACATATGAGGGGAGTAGTCTTCGCCATGGAGCAACTTCCTACTTGCACCATAGGTTTGTTAAATAGTGAATGCAGATCGTATGGGTACCCGTACTGGGTAGAAATAAAGGCCCTCTTGATATAATTTGATTCTTTAAAGTCTGTTTCAATTATTCTCTATTGTTTTGAAGAACAATTATTGTTGCATTCAATTTAATTAAATTATAAAAGTCCCGATCCCAAAATATGAATCATTTCGTTATTTTTATTCCCATCTTTAATTTTCATTCTGGCCCTCAGATCAATGCAAAAGATTGCTGACAGAGAACTATCTCATCACTAACTCGGGTTTCCTTGTCGTATACGGGACCACGATCTCAGTGTCCTGTCAGCCAGGTTACTCCTTGATGGGGAGTAAGGAGATCACATGTGAGCAGGGAATATTTTTCTCTCACCAATCCACCCGTCCTAAGTGTGTCAACCCAGGTGAGACTTAATTCATCACTATCTCAGTTCACTGGATGTAAATTTCCATACAAATACAATTACTTATAAATAATATTCATCTTGATGTTTCATTGATTAGAATTTGTCTATCATCTACACACTTCAACAAGTAGTTTGACTGTGTAGTGGTTTTGTGTTCGTACAATTACTGTGATCAACCTGTCTGATTAGTGATTATTGTCCTGTAGTTATGTTCACCTGTCTATGTACTCCCTTCAAAGGCGGCGTGAGAGATACACTATCATCCTAGTTTGGAAGATCTATAACAATCTCGCTCCAAACAGTATGAACATCAACTTCCGCGAGACCTCACGATACGGAACTACGTGCATACGACCACTAGGATCCTCCAAGTACACTAGTGTCAATAACCTGAGGTTCAACTCCTTTGCCTCTAGAGCCTCTGCACTGTACAACGTGGTCCCTCCTAGCATCAAGTCCCTCCTTACCTTGACCACTTTCAAACCTGCTCTTGATGCTTTCCTCAATGAATTCCCTGACACTCCACCAACACCTGGGTACACTGGACAGAACAGGAACTCAATGCTGGAGTGGGCCGGTGGCACGTGTCTCTGACGCGCTACTACTTGGCGGTGGAGATGCAAGACATTCTTGGCTTGGTAGCACTCTAGCTCGGAACCCAACCCAAGTAACCCAAGTAAATAAATACTATGATTTCGTATTTCGGATATCTTAACAACAGACATACCCAAATTCAAAAAGTGAATTTGGGAGGGCTCCACAAATTGGGGTAGTAAATAAATATGCTGATTTACGATCCGAGCAACAAATATGCTTTTCTGGTGAACCACTAAATTAAATGTTATAATGATTATTTTGTGTTTTCTTATAAAGTATAGCTATCTGAAAATGAAAGCCTTCAAGAAGTGATCCGTAATGTGGATTAAGTTTTTAGTGGTTAAACCAACCACTAAAAATGTATGAACACGTCGAGTAAATGTACGGTAAAGTCTAAGTACACGCGTGACGTGAGCTTGTTGGAAGTGGAACGTTCCAACAGAATTTTTGTCTTTTATTGTTATCTTACAGCCCGCTAATTTCGCATTTTTTGTATAGAAATTTGTTCTGTAGTATGTCATAAAAACGTTTATTGCTGTGAAAAGCTTTTTTTATTTACCGCGGTTTTCATTTCTTGGAATTGATAAAGTTTGCCGTACCGAACCAAACCGGTTAAAATCAGCCGAAACCCGAACCAAATCGGAAATTCGGTCGTTATCTAGTTATATTTATAAGTTTCAAAATTCAAAATTGGTGGGAAATAGATTCATTCTGATTCAGACAGAAAATTAAAACCAAAAACGGAGAATTAAGATACTAATTCTGCCTTTTTTAAATTATCATTCATGAAAGTCAGAGTATATCATTTGTGACTTTTTCACTATACACGCTGTGACACACTGTCACTATTATCCTCACCTTTAAATTGTATTTGGCATTGCTCCAAACAACAGAGAAATGGTTTTTAGACAATTTAATTACAACCGCCCGATTACAAAAACCTTTATTGGGGCACCCCCCTCTTTTTTTTTCTCTCTCTCTCTCTCTCTCTCTCTCTCTCTCTCTCTCTCTCTCTCTCTCTCTCTCTCTCTCTCTCTCTCTCTCCAGTGCCACTTGACGCTCTACCAATGTAAATCCCCTTGATACTTGGTTCTCCGTGTGCTGTCTCATTACAGGAAAGTTTCCGAGCATTAGTACAAGGTCCTTGCTACTTTGCTGATATCCTTTTGTTCCCCAAGCTACTGGCTACAAAACGGTGGTCCTCAGTTCTGTATGAAGACCGACTCATGACTCCCAGGAGGACCGACCATGTTCTTTTTCCACAGCAACTCCCTTTTTAATATACGATACTGTGACAAATGACTGATAAAGCGACTATAATAAACTTTGCTATCCGGTAAGGTAAGACCCAAAACCTCTTGTATGTTATCAGGTACTGAGGCATTCCTCTTAACTGTCTGCCTGCAGATCATTTGTATCACCTGCTACTGAAAGACACCTTTTGCGTTTTTTAGCAACCAACGTTTTTAAACGTTTGATACGATATTTGGTTGTACTGTATAGTGAACTGTATATGATTCCTTCAAAAGGTTTGTTCGTGGTTACATTAGTTTAGGTTAAAATAAGGAATGTGGTATCTGACTAGCTGTACGATTATTAAAACCTTAACTTTAAGCGAATAACTTAATTAAGATATTCGACTATTGAGCCACGACTCAGTTAGATTTCGAATCGAGTAACCTTTTTTTTCGCGTCATATTACGTTTTTTTAACAACATGGTGATACTTCTTTTGCAAGTAAAACGACTTCTTGTCCAAAATGTTTATTTGTAAGATTTCTTTTGACATTTTTTCTCTCAATGTATTGTGAATAATTAAAATATATAATTTCTGGATTTGTGTAAAATATTACACTGCATTCTGTTTTTAGTTTGGTAAAAAGATGAAATCAATGGTCTTAAAGGCTTGGTTGCTACTTTTGAATTTATTACAACCTTCAAAAGGACTCGGTAAGCAACATAAATAAAAACACGCATATAGAACAATGAAAACTGCTTATGAATTCAAATTTGAAAAATTGTGCATATAAAAAAAACATATTGAATATTTTATTTCGATGACAAAAAATAATACCCCAGTTAAAAGATTTTTGAATTTTGCACTAAAAACACGGCAGCGATTCTGTATGAAATTCTGTAAAATATCCAAAAATCACCATATTCAAAAACAATGTTAATATTGAGCCTGAATTTTTGCAGAGTCTCTCGACCTTGAGTCTTGACCAAATCGACTGAAAAAATTAAATAATATTTCTGTAAACTTGAAAGCATTTGTTGAAATTTAGCTTCGACTATGTAAAATATTGTTTGACATTATCACCACTTGATGACGTCATCACGTTTTTAGATCTTGACTTTCTTTAAAGGAAAATGTTTGACCTTACATAAATCAATTAACTAAAACTAATGTACTCCTTCATTCAATTTTCAGATTTAGATGCTGCTGACTCCCAAACGGTAGGAGCCAGTGGCTGCAGCGGCAATTTCATCATCTTCGTTGCTGCGAAATACTATGCACCTGGTAACCTGGCTTGTCCAGCTCTATCTAATGCGTTGGCAGTGATACAAGATTTGTGTGACTACAGGTTTTATTGTGAAATCCAGGTAGGAACGGTGTACCGGTACAATGATCCCTGCCCAGGCTATTCTAAAAAGTTAGAGGTGAGGAAACTGAAACTTCTTGACGACTTCTTGACCATTTCTTGCATCGTAAACCAATGGAATTTTGTTAATTTGTAGCCCTTGGTTAAATTTGATCGACTATCAACACGTTTCGTACTAGGAACATGTAAATAATTCAAATAACCAAAATTAAAATCCATCTTAGAAACATAAGTATTGATCCCCCTCTAGGCAACATATGGTTGTACTACTTGTCTTGGAGGATACCGTCTTGCGTACGGTACAAGTTGCACGATATGCGGACAGAGTTCTTACAATGCTAAAGGGGTATCGCAGACCTGTTCTAGCTGTCCTAGTGGAACTACGGTTAAGCCCGGTCAGGGAAAAAGTGTAGATGACTGCAAGCCGTGGGGTAGGTTATTTACCTTCCAGTTCCGATTATTTGAGTTTTTTGTTGAAAAGACGACAAACATAAATTGCGAAATGTGTGGAATTTAGCAGTAGAATTAAGAAATCCTACAGACTTTGTATCATATAGTTAAGTTGTTAACTCTTTAACTCTTTTCTTTTGAGACCCTAATATTTCCGATCCCAGATCCTTGTGATGGTGGCAACTACCTAGACCAATCGTACGAGTGTCAACCATGTGCACAAGGAACATACAGCCCTGGAGTACAAACTTCAAGCTGTTATAATTGTCCCTCTGGGAAAACAGTGGCACCTGGTGATGGCAGATCAGTAAATGACTGCTCTTGGAGTAAGTCAGAATATTTGATAAACTTAATGTACGATGTTTCGAGCTGTATTGATTCAATAAAGTCAATGATCAACTGGACTGGTAAAAAGGGTGCTGGGGCCACAATTAAAACTGAGATCAGAATTTTTGACTCATTAAACTTACTTCTGTCTTGAAAATTCAGTAATAGAAATCAATTGAATTTGTATCTGCCTGGCCCTTCTTATTGACGAATCTAAATGTATGTACAGTGTATAATCTTGTTAAGATCGTTGTATCCGAACAACACTAACGAAGAATTCATAGTCCAACTGGAATGTGGCATCAAATAAAAACAACTTTTAATAGTTGTGATAATCTAATTCAGTCGTGACGAATATAAGAAATAAGGAATAAAATGAGATTTATAAACATTGAAGAGCTTATGTTCCTTTATATGTAGTAGATAAATGTGATCAGAGCGAATATTTTGAACACCCTCTTCAATCTTCGTCAATCTTAATCAATCTAAAGCCTTCCTTACTAGATTTTTCCCGGATCGATCGTTGAATATAGATTATAGAGTATTAAATATTATAGTACCTATTATAGTACCTACCATGCAAATAACATTAATTTCAGTTCCTTCTTGTGCGGGGCACTCTATTTAAACCAAGCAACAGGATGTCAGAGGGACATTCTGTTGCTTGTTTTTTGCTGTTATGGTAAAGATATTAGCTCCTCAGATATTAGCTCCTATAAAAACTACCCCAGTTCCCTGTGTAAGCGGTAATTACCTTGACCAAGTGAACGGATGTACACTATGTGCACAAGGAACATACAGCGCTGGAGGAACTGTTTCATTGTGTTCTGATTGTCCTTCTGGTAAAACAGTGAGACGTGGTGATGGTAGTTCACAGAGTGACTGTACTTGGAGTAAGTCGATTTATGAAATAAACCTCTTACATTAAATTTTAGGTTTGCTGCTTTAGAATTGAATAGTGAAAAAATCATTAGTAAACCCTGTAAACGTCATTATTTCAGTTCCTTGTGTGGAAGGACATTATCTAAACCAAGCAACAGGATGTCAGAGCTGTGAAGTTGGGACTTACAGCGCAGGAGGAACAGTTTCACAGTGTTCTAATTGCCCCTTTGGTAAAACTGTGGCTCGCGGTAATGGAGGATCAAAAAGTGACTGTACTTGGAGTAAGCCAGGATGTCAGAGCTGTGAAGTTGGGACTTACAGCGCAGGAGGAACAGTTTCACAGTGTTCTAATTGCCCCTTTGGTAAAACTGTGGCTCGCGGTAATGGAGGATCAAAAAGTGACTGTACTTGGAGTAAGTTGGGATTTGAATTTATCCATCAAATCTCGAGGTTTGGTAGTATTATTATCAAATATCAATTAAGAAGAGTGAATGAAAAATCATTAAATCATATTAACTTCAATATTTCAGTTCCTTGTGTGGGAGGACAATATCTAAACCAAGCAACAGGATGTCAGAGCTGTGAAGTTGGGACTTACAGCGCAGGAGGAACAGTTTCACAGTGTTCTAATTGCCCCTCTGGTAAAACTGTGGCTCGCGGTAATAGAGGATCAAAAAGTGACTGTACTTGGAGTAAGTTGGGATTTGAATTTATCCATCAAATCTGGAGGTTTGGTAGTATTATTATCAAATATCAATTGAGAAGAGTGAATGAAAAATTATTAAATCATATTAACTTCATTTTTTCAGTTCCTTGTGTGGGAGGACAATATTTAAACCAAGCAACAGGATGTCAGAGCTGTGGAGTAGGGACTTATAGCGCTGGAGGAACAGTTTCACAGTGTTCTAATTGTCCTTCTGGCAAAACAGTGGCTCGCGGTAATGGAGAATCAAAAAGTGACTGTACTTGGAGTAAGTTGGGATTTAAATTTATCCATCAAATCTGGAGGTTTGGTAGTACATATTATCAAATACCAATTAAGAAGAGTTAACAATCAAACTATATCAATTTAATTATTTCAGTTCCTTGTGTGGAAGGACATTATCTATACCAAGTATTCGGATGTATGATCTGTGGAGTAGGGACTTACAGCGCTGGAGGAACAGTTTCACAGTGTTCTAATTGCCCCTCTGGTAAAACAGTGGCTCGCGGTATTGGAGGATCATCAAGTGACTGTACTTGGAGTAAGTTGGAATTTGAATTAATCCATCAAATCTGGAGGTTTGGTAGTATATATTATCATATATTAATTAAGAAGAGTTAACGATGAAACTATGTTAACTTCATTATTTCAGTTCCTTGTGTGGGAGGACAATATACAAACCAAGCAACAGGATGCCAGAGCTGTGAAGTAGGGACTTTCAGTCCTGGAGGAACAATTTCCTCCTGTGTGAGCTGTTCTGAGGGAAAATCTGTTGCAGCAGGACAAGGTAGCTCGGAGAGTGACTGTTCCTGGAGTAAGTGTAAAACAGTATTTATTAACACATATTTCGAGACTAAATTTCTTATCTTGGCTATGGAATCAAGTTCCTGAACGTTTCTCTTTTATATAAAAATAATCAATTTCTTTTGAAACAAAAATGTTACTATCCCAGTTCCCTGTGATGTCGGAAAATACTTGAACCAAGTGAATGGATGTACACCATGTGCACAAGGAACATACAGCCCTGGAGGAACAAATCAAAAATGTTCTTTTTGTCCCTCTGAAAAAACAGTGGCACCTGGTCATGGCAAATCAGAGAATGACTGCTCTTGGAGTAAGTTAGAATACTTTTGAAACTTTATGTATCAACTTTCCAGCTTCGCCAATTCGATGAAGATTAATAATTACTATTGATAAACTAAATCAAAAATAAAACTTAATTATTTCAGTTCCTTGTGTGGGAGGACAATATTTAAACCAAGCAACAGGATGCCAGAGCTGTGGAGTAGGGACTTATAGCGCTGGAGGAACAGTTTCCTCCTGTGTTAGCTGTCCTGAGGGAAAATCTGTTGCAGCAGGACAAGGGAGCTCGGAGAGTGACTGTTCCTGGAGTAAGTGAATTTATTAAACAGATATTTAGCTAAAATAGGGCTAGAATTCTTGCAATAGAATCGATGAACCTTACGACTTTTGTTTCGCCCCTAAATATTGGAGTTTTTGCCAATTTTGCTGTCATTAGCTCCTAATGCTAACTATCCCAGTTCCGTGTGAAAGTGGCAATTACCTAGACCAAGTGAACGGATGTACACCATGTGGAGAAGGAACCTACAGCGGTGGAGGAACAACTTCAGAGTGTTCTAATTGTCCTTCTGGTAAAACAGTGGGACTTGGTGATGGTAATTCACAGAGTGACTGTACTTGGAGTAAGTCGAGATATTTCTATACTTTGTATGATCTATCACATGTTGAGTGACGATATTATCAAGGGTACACATTAAATATGCATATTCCAGAATGGTTTATAATTTGGCCAGCCAAATGAATTCATATTAGGAAAATTATAGAAAATGATAACTGATAACTCTTTTGGCGCTTTTTAAAATATTTTGTTGAATACTTCCGGCACCAAAGATCTTATTCATATAAACGTGTAAAAATGGACCAAAAATGACCGATTTCAGACTAAAATGCATGTATATGATAATATTATAACCATTTGCGTATCAGTTGTTTAAAATGATTGTTATAGGATCATTATAGCTGGGTGAGATAAAACGTTTTGTACTAAGCTATAAAATATTGTACATATATGAACACATCCTTTTTGCTCAAAACTCGATCATTCGTTATCTAATTTCAATTAAAGTCAGAAAACAATAATTACAAGAAAAGGACCATACGCTTGATCTTGGCCATTTTCAAAGGATTCGAAAATTTATCATGCAAAAACGATTTTCATAAAAATAACATGGTGGACCACATTATCGACTTCACCATTGATTTCAGTTCCCTGCGAAGGTGGCAAGTACCTTGACCAAGTGAACGGATGTACACCATGTGGAGAAGGGACCTACAGCGCTGGAGGAAAAACTCAAAAATGTTCTAATTGTCCTTCTGGGAAAACAGTGGCATTTGGTCATGGCAGATCAGAGAATGACTGCTCTTGGAGTAAGTCGAGATATGAAAAACTCTATAACCCATCATACAAGAATATAAATTCAGAGTAATGAAAGAACCATTGTTCCACCATATTAACTTAATTATTTCAGTTCCTTGTGTGGGGGCACACTTTCTAAACCAAGCAACAGGATGCCAGAGCTGTGAAGTAGGGACTTTCAGTCCTGGAGGAACAGTTTCCTCCTGTGTGAGCTGTCCTGAGGGAAAATCTGTTGCAGCAGGACAAGGTAGCTCGGAGAGTGACTGTTCCTGGAGTAAGTGTAAAACAGTATTTATTAACACATATTTAGAGATTCAAGACGGCAAACTCATTTTGAGCTGTTTCGTTAACTACCGGTTATTAAGGCATCATGCTTATGTCTAAATGTTCTTTGGTATTAACCTGGTCAGTGTACATATAAAAGGAGTTTAAAATGACAACTTTTTACTGTCAGTTCCATGTGAAGAAGGGACGTATCGGGATGCTTCTATGACGAACTGTGATAAATGCGACGTTGGAGAGCAACCTAATATTGAAAAAACGGCTTGCAGTGAGCTCCTAAGAATATATTCTTGAAAATAGCACATCACAAGAGTGACCCAGTTTATGTCTACAAATATAAAACGATATACCCTCTCTTATTCTGGTTGGTGGTCTACTTACCAAACACCAATTTCAGTTCCATGCCAGGGAGGGACCTTTAAGGACGGTTCACTGTCAGTATGTCAACAGTGTCCCACAAACAGTTATAGTGCGGAGAGAGCAGGGCTGTGTATAACGTGTCCTAGAGGATCGCATGCTTCCGAGGATCACATTCGCTGCGGTAATTTCTATAATAACCTTTATTAAGACATTTAATATATTTCACAGGTGACCTTCTGAGTTAAATCGAAATTGGTACTACAGATTTTGTTTTAAGATTGTTCATTTTAGCTTGCCCTTTTTTATATTCAATTATTCAAATCGTTCAGTTTCTTGTGAGAGTCTGCCTTCTAACTGGAAGGAGATTATAACAGAGACACAGTTCCCCCTCCCACCTGGGGCTGAAGTGTCCCTGAAGTGTAGTCCCGGACACACTCTGGCTGGAGACAGCACTGTCACATGTGTTGAGGGAACTGACTTTTCCTCAATTAACACCCCCTCTTGTGTCCTAGGTTCGAAGATAAAATGTTTTGTTTCTAATCTGTCGATTATTAAAAGTGATTTTAGCAACTTTAAACTTTCTAAACAGGTGAATCACGTGATGACATTGCAACCCTCCTACAGAACAGATAAAATTAACATCTCACCATTATAGACATGTGTGGGTCCCTCCCCGACACAGCAAAACTAGGAACGAGTACCGAGTTCCCGGTGCAGTACGGTGTTGTGATGACAGTGGACTGTGAGACTGCATACTATCTGTCAGGAGCTGATACTATCACCTGTATTAAAGATAGGATATACAAGTCACACCAGGATCCTGTTTGTATTGCAAGTGAGTACTCGAGGGTTTGTGAATCAGCAGACTTACTGAAATTGAGCTGGATTCCCGGGGTAAACATAATTTCTGATGAGCTCAAAGAATTAAAAAATCAAAATTAAAGATAAACATCTAATAAGCTAACAGTACTATCTGACCAGAGACCTGCACGCGGCTACCCCCGGAGATCACACACCTACAGACAGACACACAGTTCCCGGTGACTCACAGCACTACAGTACCAGTACAGTGTTCAGAGGGAAGGGAGCTAAGGGGGGATCTTGTGATAACGTGTGACCAGGATACTGACTTCCTCTTCCAGGAGAAACCTCGCTGTAATGAACTGGGTTCGTGAGCTGATCTTCTAGGTTACAAATAGATCAATTTGTTTTAACCTGTACCTGCCAAGTTGCTTGATATTGAAACAAAATCATTATCCTGGAAATAATTCTGTGAGATTCAGAGGCTGACTTCTTCATATTGTGGGCTTTATCTGAATCTTAGTCATCTTTCACGCGGAGTTTTTAAACATAAATTAACAGTGACTCCATTGTCCAGGAACTTGCTCGGAATTACCGCTAGACAGTAATCTCTACAGTGACTCCCAGTTCCCTGTGAAGAAGGGGACAGCAGTGGATGTGAGCTGTGTGACTGGGTTCTCCTTAACCGGAGACAGAGCCATCACCTGCGTCCAGGACGCAGACTTCAACTCCCCCCGGAACTTCCCTAGCTGCTCTATCGACAAGTGCACTAGATTGCCGGATGAAATGTTCGACATGAAGACAAACATCCCTTTTCCAGTGGACTACGACACAAAAGTGGAACTGGATTGTATCCCGGGGTACAGTCTGTCAGGAAACGGTCTGATCACCTGTATCAAGGAAAAGAACTGGGAGTATGAAGACATTCCTCGCTGTGTTTTAGGTGAGATCCGATTGTTAATCACGGACCTAACTACGGTCGATTTTGTTGAGACATAAGAATTATACAGTGAATTGTTCCCCGCAGACACGTGTACAGAACTCCCAGCAGCTCTGTCAGAAATGACAACGACCAGCACCTTCCCCGTGATAGTAGGAACAGTGGTGGAAGTTGCCTGTAAACCGGGTCTCGCTCAAGCTGGGGACAATGCTATTACATGTGAGAGGGGAGTAGTCTTCACCATGGAGCAACGTCCTACTTGCACCATAGGTCTGTTAAATAGCGAATGTACTAAGTATGATTGGGCATGAGGGGCGTTTGATATCATTAAACCCTTTCAAGTCTAGGCAATTCGGTAGTGTGGCAAAGCACGGTTAACGCACGGTTAAGGCACGGTTAAAGCACAGTTAAGGCACGGTTAAGGCACAGTTAACGCACGGTTAACGCAGGTTAAGGCACAGTTAAGGCACAAACTGCCCAAAAGCAACCATTATGGTCGCTTAAGGCACGGTTAACACACGGTTAACGCACGGTTGGGGAAATATAACATATAAACATACAAGTGGTTAACTAAGACACGGTTAAGGCACGGCTAGGGAACAAGGGTTACATAAGGCACGGTTGAGGCACGGTCACTTAAGGCACGGTTAATGCACAGTTAAGGCACGGTTAAGGCACAAACTGCCCAAAAGCAACCATTATGGTCGCTTATGGTCGTTTCCAATTGTACAGCTTTGAAGGAAAGTTCTTGTAAAAGTCCCGATCCCGAAATATGAGTAATTGTATTCCTTTTATTCTTATCTTTAATCTTCACTCTGGCCCTCAGACCAATGTAGAAGACTGCTGACAGAGAACTATCTCATCACTAACTCGAGTTTCCCTGTCGTATACGGGACTACGATCTCAGTGTCCTGTCAGCCAGGTTACTCCTTGATGGGGAGTAAGGAGATCACATGTGAGCAGGGAATATTGTTCTCTCACCAATCCACCCGTCCTAAGTGTGTCAACCCAGGTGAGACTTAATCTATCAGTAACTCAATCACGTCATTGATAACTAAAGTTGATTCTATTCGATGAAAGTTTTCGTTCAATTAGTATTACTGATACTCAATGGATAATCTGCATCTTAATGTTCCATTGATTCTTGTTTGTAACATGTCTAATGAAATTTGTGAACTTTAACGGGTTGTTTGACAGTTGTTTTGTGTGTCGAAAACTTGATGATTATTTTCCTGTTTAAAATAATAAAAACACCGATTATGATTCAAGTACTAATGTGATGGTGTTGTCCTTTGACCCTGATGGGTATTTCAAAAGCGATTGTCTTAAAATCAAATCGAAATCATTTTGTGTCGAAGTTGAAGTTATGTATTATGATTTCTGATTTCGACAATAGTACAAATCTTAACAACAGATATACCTAAATTTTAAAGGTGATTTGAGTATGCTTCACAAATTAAACTGGAGTAGTGATGTATTGTGCAAGCAATAAAGATGCCTTTTTTATACTCTTATAGTAAACCACTTTAATTATTAAAAAAGTGATCCGTAATAATCTCACTCATAAATACTTCAAAGCTTCCTACGGATATTTAGCTTCCAGTACCTCAATGGTGACTTGTCACTTGTGCCACTCACAATGAAATAATTGATAGGTTACTTGTCAAAAATTCAGTAAAAACTGTAAAGTTTCGATCAAGTAAACGGCAGAAAGGGTTATATTTAAAAATCTCCCAAAATGTCTCCTTCTATTCTGATAACTTTCGTTTTTTAATTGTATTTTGTTGGCAATCTAGCTTTCATTACCTCAATCTTGTCTTGTGTCATTTACAGTGAACTCATTAATTGGTCATTGAAGAAAAGTTGGGTCGAGGAAAGCTGATATCTGAAAACGACCGGTGACACATTTTCATGATTTTCTTTTCCTCAAAGCTTTCTCCAGATATTCAGCTTCCAGTACCTCGAGGCTTGATGGTGACCTGTAATTGTATGGTGGCCGAGGAGTGTCATTTTTGTAATTTAAAAAAAAGTATATGACGAAAATGAGTCTCCTCGGCCATGGCCGAGCAGTACCAAACAATAAATGAGTCTCCTCGGCCATGACCGAGCAGTACCAAACAATAAATGAACCTCCTTGGCCAAGGCCGAGCAGTACCAAACAATATGACGAAAATGAGTCCCCTCGGTCATTGCCGAGCAGTACCAAACAATATTCCGACCAAATGAGTCTCCTCGGGAGTTGATGAATCCCAGCACTCAAATACAGCCAGTACTTCGATGTTCCCATACTACCATGTTCCAAAAAAAGGAGATTTAATGGGACAAAATTGGAACATTTTCGAACATTGGTTACATCGGTTCTACTTCTAGACATACATTGATTCCCAAACTTGGTTTGAGTGGTCTTAGGACCAATATTAACTCTTTGCGAACAATTTTGAACCAATCTGAGAACGTTGAGGAGAATGTTCATTTTCGTTCATTTCTGGCCATTCCATGAGTAATTTTATGCGATTTTTATAGCTCCTAGCCTCCTAGGCCTAGCTTACGGCTATATCTATATTAGAAAACCGAATTGAGGCTTCCCAGCACCCAAATACAGCCAATACTTCGATGTCTCCATGTTCCAAAAATCTGGATAATCAGGACTCAGGAGGATTATTGGGACAAAATTGGAATATTGGTTACATCGCTTTTAGACATACATTGCTTCCCAAACTTGGTTTGAGTGGTCCTTGGTATGGACCAATATTAACTCTTTACGACCAATTTTGAGCCATTCTGAGCACGTTGAGGAGAATATGTTCATTTTCGTTCATGTCTGGTTATTCATGGGTAATTTCATGCAACTTTTGATAGCTCCTAAGTCCTAGGCCTAGTTTTTAACTACATCCATCTAAGAAAACCGAATTGAGGCTTCCCAGTACTCAAATACAGCCAATACTTCGATACAGCCAATACTTCGATACAGCCAATACTTCGATGTCCCCATTATACATGTGTAACCTCTATTATAGTTATACTACCAGTACAGTGTATTTATTTGTTAATATCGCGCGCGAGGCTCAATTATGTCAAACCGGCTGTTGTTATTGAAAAAAAGCACCTCTTAATTGCGAGCCCGCACAGTGGCGTAACTTATAGGGCCCCGCGTAACTTATAGGGCCCCGCAGACCCCGCTGTGCGGGGGGGGGGGGCGCCGTATAATGTATAAGGGGGGCGCAATTTTCCTGAATTTTAGGCCCTTTCACTGAAAAAACGCCTTGTTTGTGTATTTCCCTGTCCAATTTAGCGTTCGGTCGACGCGAAAAAAATATTTGGGGTACCCTTTTTTGCTTCAGGGGGCGCAAAAAGCTGTATAGTAGGGGGGCGAGAAAAAAAGTACCCGACCTTTTTTTTTTTTTTTTTTAGGGACACAAAAAATTTAAGGGGGGCGCTTTTCGTCACTGAGCGGGGGGCGCCAAAAGGCAAAGTTACGCCACTGAGCCCGCAGCCGGTAATGTTCCACCCCCTCCCCCCCCCGCAATCATTTGGAGACCCCGTCTCCGTCCTAGCCCCCCTCGGCTGATTACGAATACGTAATATGTGAGTGACCCCTAAAGACACTATTTAGGGCACCTTTCAGCTTCTAAAACACAGCACACTATCCAAAATTCTGCCACAATGTGCTCGGGTTGAATGGGCCCGACGCACGACGTCTGTATCCAGATTGTAGGTTTACAACCTACCAGGACGCGCGCCGAGTTGGACTCGTCGACGGTCCAATATATGGAACAGATATTTTACGAGTATCACCCGTTAATATCCAGACCCCAGCTGTATTGTGTAATACATGATTCATTGACTCATTCAATGTTCAACTCCTCGTGCTATCAAGTGCGCATCGCCAACCGCGCGCGTCGAATTTCGGTCACAGTAACGCTTCATAATGAAAGTTTGCATCACAAAAAGCGTACTCGCGCGCTCCAGCAAAATTTCAAGTAGAACTATTCTTTTCAGCCTATTCTTTAGAGGAAGTCCTTAGTCCCACTACAAAACGTCGATAAGTGGGTAATGAGTCAATAGATATCCGAAAATGAACAAATTATCGTCTACTTATTGAACGATAAAAGGTTTGGACAGTTAAAAGCCTAACAATCATGGTAAAATGTAATAGCCTATATCAATTATAAAGAACGAAGGAGTAAGATGGACAATATTTTACCTGTTGGTTTAAAAGTGATAAGTGGTTAGGGCTATTCAGAATGAGAGCTTTAAAGTTTACAATATTGTTCCAGTTAAGTCATACAAAGCTGCCATTAGAACCTGAGCCCTTACATTTAATCGGTAACAGGCAGTTCACCTTTAATTTCCCCATCTTTCGGACTGTTAATGCAGTATTCGGTCTACTACAGAGATGATAGGCCGTTAAATATCTTGCCTGAGAGGACGACAGTCTCTTAATCTCTCATCTCATAGCTCCATAACCATTTAATACTCTACACGCTACGCTAGCTCATAACGTATTTACCTTAACCCGTTGCCATAGCAACGAACTTAAGTATTTCCGCCAGTGGTAATGACAGTGCGATGGGATGCAGAGTATTGGACTGTTCTCCTCTCCTGTTCTCCTCCTCTCAGCACTTGATGTGCTGTGAGTGGCGGGACTATATAGTTACAGTGATTAGGGCAGGGTAATAGTTGGAGGGACTATGCAGTATCCACTTACGTAGAGGTATGTTCTCTAGTGTATATTGTCTGTTATACGCCCCGTGTCTTACATACCTATGTTCAGAGGTTTAACTGAGTATAAATCCAGGGATCAGTTGTAAATACACAGCTGTACAGCGAATGAATGGGAAGGGACAGATTTACTGCGTTTTATAACAAAGGGCTTTGTCTCACGACAAAAGATTGTTTGAATATAGGATATATCTCACTGATTTGCCGAATTTCGAGCGAGAATAAAAAACAAATTTCATGTACTACAACGAAACAGAATAATTCAAATAACATTATAATGATAAATCACAATTCAAATCATCTCACTTGAAAATAAATACTAAATTCTTAAATTCATCAGTGATAGATCGGTGAAATAGAAGCTTTTGTAAAATGTAAATATTGTGAAATTCAGCTTGTACAACAGACCTAAAACTAAAACGAAATTAATCTAAAATATCTATTATCTATACAGTCATCTAAAAACGCGAATTATGGATCATCTCATAGCTGTATAATATGTATTTGAACTAATTCTTTCGAGGGAAAAAATTCCGAAAATAAAATACAGCTCTCAAAGATTTTTCATGGATAAAAAGTCCATAAACCTAAAATCAGGCATCTTCTCAAAAGAAAAACACGCAATATCTCCAGGAAATCACGCGTGACACCGTTTTCAAACCACGTGACTAAACTACACATACATATATATATATAACCTACAGATCTCCCTCACTTGATGCTGACCATGGTGCGCTGTCTTTGTGAGGAAGGGGTAGGTTTATTAGAGGTTACAGGTCGGGCCTCGTTACTCCGGACCACTCTCATTATGGACTTGATAGTTTGTTGGTTTTGTTCCAGAGACAGGCCCCGTAACAGGTTCTTGTGGTTTTCACTGAGTGTGCCACTGTTTATCCACTCATCGTAGTCCTGCAAGAGGGGCCGGGTGGTTAAAAATTTGAGATATGTTAAAAACCCGAAACATGGAAAAAGAAACCCAAAAAAATCTAAATTATCACCTAAAAATATGATTTAATGACTAAGAACACAAACCTCAATCAACTGGAAAGAGGTAAGTAACATCTTATTCTTGTGATTGATGTTAGCACCAGCCTCAATGATAAGCTGAGCCGCGTGGAAGTTGTTGCTCTTGACGGCAGAGAAAAGGGGCGTCTCCCCCTCACTATTCTCACCCTCTATATCCGCCCCCATATCCATCAGCAAACACAATACTTCCGCAAATTTAGGATCTTTAGATGCGTAGTGTAACGGCTGGGGTGATTTATCAGTGAAGAGGATCTGCATTGTTTGAGTATAATTTCAAGCACAGTGTGAAGACTTATGATTTCCGTTAAAATTGGGTTTTCGGAACACAAGCATTTGTCCAGAATAGTAAATTTATATTTGAAAGCGGAACGAAAAGAATAGATTATCAATTAAAATCATCATGTCTGGAACTATATTGTCTACATCCTGAGTAGTAAACTGTAATATAGCCCTACTCCTACCTGATTTCCAGTTTTAGGATTCTTGTAGCACGGATCAGTTCCCAGATCGATCAGGAAGTTAACGGTCTCCTGCGGATTTGTGTGGCTTATCTTCTGAGATAACAAGTTCTCTAGAATCTTCTCCCCTTCTCCCTCCTTGAATCTGAAGGAGTTTTTCAGGAGCCATTCTGAGCACCTGAAAAGAAATAAACCACATGTTAATCACAAAACTGCAAACTTTCAATGAAAAGTGTGTAGGCCACCGGTCACATATTACATAACCACAGATTGCACACGATTTGACGATTGTACTGTCGTGCTTGATTTAACAAGCTTAATTCTTTAATTAACAAGTCACGTGATCACATGAAATATGATCGCTAAAAGCACCGCATGACCGCCTACAAACACAAAACTACTTGAAAGCTCTAGCTCAAAAGCGGTACTCCGCACAGAATGAGAAGATGCAATCAATATTTTAATTAATATATTAAAAAGCTCTCAACAAGCAGCGTACTTCCAGTGTCCAGCTTCAGTGGAGAGACGCAACATGGAGATGACAGATCGCTCCTCGTTGTCAAGTTCTGCTCGTAGCTCACTTCCTCCAACACCCAGTATCAACTTTATGTAGTCTGCTCTTCCTGCGACCAAGAGTGATGTTATATTTTGGTGACTTATATCGCAAAATTTAAACAATCGAATTCAGATTGACAAGCAAGGAAGAACAACTGTGATAAAAGTAAAACGAAATGTTATAAATCCAACCTAATTTGTACTACAAATTAACAATAAAAGTGACATTTACCCTGAATAGCACAGCAGTGAACTGGAAGCAGCCCCTTGTTGTTCCTGGCCAGCACTGAGGCTCCATTCTCAAGGAATAACTCTCCAACATCGAGCTGAATTATCTGGTTACATGTCATGAACTAGCCTACCAGCAGCTATAGTGCCTCATCTAGTGTAGCCAGTATTGCTAGTCAAGTTAATGCTGTAAGGTGCAAAAGTGAAACTCTGAAAAGGTACGGCCACACTTCTTTACACTTTTACAGTACAGCTCCACTGGACAGCTGCTTTAAAAAGTTAAAATAACTTGAAATATGCACAAATTTCAGAAAACACTGGCTAATACGTAATTTAAAATTTGGTTAAGAAATGCAAGGAGGATAGAAAATTGAAGAGAGAGATATAAAAAAGAGTGGAATGCTAGAAACACCACACATACCTGGTCGTCGCCCTGGACACTATTACCCAGACACAGCGTGTGAAGGGGTGTGTTACCCTCGCTATCTGCGCAGGTCACGTCCGCGCGCGCTTCTAGCAGCATTCCCGCAGTTTGGAGGTCGTGTACGTAGTGTAGGGCTGTCTTCCCTTTATCGTCCTTTAGATCTATCTCTAACCTGGAAATATTGGATTTGTCTCAAAATATGTCTCGGTTAAATAGTTATTTACGTGACTGAATCTTTGTTCATTACAGTTCATTTGGCTTGTTTGGTTATTTATAATACTTTGTCTATACTCTATATTGCTTCCTAATCCTTTGGTGGTGTGTGGTAATTTTAAGTTTCATTTGATCTTGCTCGCCTTTGCTTTTAGGTTGCGTCTTTACAAATGGCATTTACCGAGGTTAACCAGATAAATATTGAACATTCACTAGATAAACAGATTGTTGTGAGTGAGCTATCCACAGTTTTATTTCAAAGGCAGTAATCAAATAATTAGTTACAGTTAAGCTGAACTGCAATGTCTAACTCTATTGAGTCTAGATAATATATGGTAAATCCCACTCTACCAATAATAAGCCTCATATTCTTTGACATGAAACTTTTGGGTAAGCTTATAGTTCGTATTTGCTCCTAAGTTTAACTATTAAGCTATTAGAGCACTTCGGAAGAAGAAATCTACCGAACATAGGTATACCTAATATTTATAACTGATGTGTAATTTTAGAGGAAATTGGGGGTTGACGGGGATGTAATTTCAATATTGCAGCTAATTTGGTAAACAATGAACCCAGTGAATGGTGCTTACGTAAAATTAATTGCAGTAAATAGGGGCATAAAATATATCCGTGATATATGACTGACTACAGAACCAACCCCATAAAATATACCACATAAAATATTCCCCTAAAACATTCCTTACTACAAAGTACCAACCTGTGCTCAAGTAGCAGCTCCAACACAGGAATAGCACCGAACTTTGCCGCCACATGGACCAGCGTCAACCCGTTAAACATGCGACTGCGCAGGGAGGCGAAGGGCCGCTGGTTGTGGTGGTGGTTAGTAACTGCCGTGATAAGCGCCACGTCATCTCCTGCAGCTATAGCTGCTTGGAGCGTTTTTATCTGGTCGTACTTTATCAAGAGGAACTCTTTAAGAGCGTCGTTACGTGACAGTTTGACCACGTCTATGTTGTTGATGTTCTTTATGTAGATGTCTGCTCCCCATTCTATTAGTAAACTTGACATTTGCCGGTCTAAAGCTTCAACCTAAGAACGAGAAACTTGATTAACTATAATATGTTCGGTCGACTCAGCCGAATGTTAGGAAACTTGATTGAGGGTTAAATGAGGAGGGGTACCTGCTAAAAGATGGAGAATCTTACAAGAATACCCCTTCAGTAAATCTACATCGTAGTGTACTATAAACATAGTACTATTAACTATCTATATGTCATTAGAGTGGCTAAATGGCAATAATATCTGGACAGTTCACCAAGTGCCAATGAAAATTCTTTGACTAGATTGTCGAAACTGTACTCTTTGATCAAGTGGGAAGTCTTGGGAATCAACGAACTTGATTTTCAAATATAACGTCTGAGCTTATAAACATGAGTTTATAAGTTATTGACTGTTATTGTTTATTAGTAAATAGTGTTAAAAAAGCTATCTAACCGCTAAGAAAAGAGGTGTCTGCAGTATCTTGTTCTGCATGTTCACACCCGCACCTGATTCCAACAAAAACAGTGCTATCTTGAAGTGTGCTCCTTTCACCGCAAAATGCAGTGAACTGTTGCCTGGGGGAGGGTCCCAGTATCAGGTCAAATATTTCAAACAGGAAAAGTTTATCTCTTAACCATTATCAAATATCTAGGATTATTGGCACTATTTTGGATTAAATACTCCAGCCTGCCAGACAGGTAACGAGGGGGCCCGTACTTCAGTTTCCTCTTCTCCGGAAGAAGATAAGAGTTATTAAAATTTGTGGTGGCTAATGTGGTGGCTAGGTAGATAATCAGGGTAACATGATATTTAGGGTTAGTTCAATACAGCCCTTCAGATCAAATACCGGATTTGATTAGTAGGTGTTTATTAGGAGGGCATGTCACTACATGTTATGTATGACGTTATCTTACAAATCAGTTACGAAATTACCATTCAGAGCCTATCCAGTGGAGACAAAGTGTTACTGCTAAGTAACTAAGTTAGAACAAAATGTTTGATTTGGATCATTCTATTTGGTGGATACGACCCAGGGCCCACAGTCACAAACAAATTGGCGCCTGAACTTTGAGATACTCTTTGCATAGGCACATTTTAGGCAAATAAAACTTGGTCATGTCACCAGCAGAAACATTACTGATTACAACAAAATATCAAATGTAAATGCTAAAAGTACATTTGGAATGACCATCTGGTAAAATGGCCAAAAATTTATTTAAAAAGGTGAGCTAGAAATTAAGGATCCAACATTTCTGGCACACCCTTTTTAGTAGCCCCACCATTTGCCAAATAAAATAACATACCAGTATCACGATAAGTAGCGTTCACGAAGGAAGGATCACACTTGTAGAAACGAATGAGTTTCTCGACAGTGTCCAACTCTCCACTTTTAACTGCTTTGAAGAGGGCTCTCTCGCACTGGGTGGGTGATCCTGGAAATACCTGGAAATAGTTCAAATGTTAGCACCATTATCAAATCCTGTGTGGTTTGATGAAGAAGAAAACAAATTCTGGATTAGTTAACAATCTTATTTATTTTCACGAGACTGAGCTCTATAGTCGCCATTAGCCATTTAAAAATCATGACATAATATATTGTTATGAAATATAACGGTCGAAATTGAATCATTACATTTTGTGTTACCTGTAGCGGTTTTTATTTTCAGTTTATTATAACATTCGTGAATCTCTTACTTTGTATTCATTGTCGTGGCATATATTTTTCTTGTCCAAATGTTAGGGCAACACTTTTTAGTTTGCATATTATGATTAATTCTTTAAATAACTAACTTGATGAATGTTCTGATTTTAGAATCTACAAAACAAACCCTGACCTCTGTTACAATTAAAATGACATGATTTTATCTTCAAGGATCTCCAAGAATTATGCTGCAATGTAAAGACTGCATACGCTTTGTTCAAGGGATGCTGACGGTTATTTCTCTTGGTCTGAGCGCTTACGCCTATAAATCCTACGACATCCGTGCATATTATAAGTACCAAGTTGCAGAATTTCGGGATCGGGAGGGTTTCTATGACAGCCGTGCAGTTTATGCGTCAGAAAATGCAAGTTTTCAGGAGGGTTTCATTACGATTCAGTTTCTTGTAAGCGTAATTCAAGTTGGTTTGTTGTTGTGGACAATTAAGAGGTTCTGCGACAGGTACTGCTAGCCACTGTTAGTGCTTTAGTTGTTCATGACTCTCACTTCAAATGAAAACTAAAACATTTAAATGTCAATGTATTGAGAATTTTCTAAACATTTGTCGTTCAAATTAATTCAATTATGATTCACCTTTAGTCACGTTATACAGTATTCTAAAACGAGTATTATACTCAATTTGTATCTAAAAGTTGATTTAAATTGATGGGAGAGGAGAGGACTCATACCTTGTTAATGACCATTATTCCGACTCAGAATGAAAAATAAGTCAACTTCCTTATCTCACTGTACAATTTTATACCGATCTATAAAGATAATGGACGAACTCGGCTTTATCTAATGACCCTTTAAATGTCTCTTACTTTTTATAGAATAACCTTGTCTACTCATTGAGTACTAATTACACAGAATACTGTCTCTTAAAACTGTTTATTTTTGTCTAACGTTATTTCCTTTGGATAACTTAAGGGATGCACCGTCAACATGAAGATGCTGCATTGAATAAGTAGTCCTCTGAGAAGGATCAACCGCAGATAAACCCCTTTTGAGACCTACAACTTGCAGAGTGCAGGATTCTCCTTGGGGACCCTCTTTATAAGCTCAAATACCAAGAAAATACTTCCACCAAGGAAGTTATCGGTCCAACAATTATTCCGTTCAAGAGGAGCTCCCTTTGGATTGATCTCATTATATAATACTCGTTTTTCACTGGGTATCTGGCCATATGCCGTTAGACAGGGCTTCCAGCATATTGTGGCAATAAGGAATTCCGAGTATAAATCAACTGGGTAGGTTGTAATTTACAAAAATCTCTTTTATTCATTTGATATGATTAACGAAATCGACCAATATATCGCATTTGCAGCTGAAGCAGCAGATTCCAGACAACGTAACAAATATCCCGCACATAGCAATAGTGTATACTATACACAGTATAGACTATAGCTGTTAAGTAGATGCGGTAGCAAAATGCGGTCTAGTGGTTACTTCTCAGCATTGAAGTATAGTGGAGTTAAACAGTTCAATGATCAATATGCATATTTTGTTTTATTGCAGCTATCGCGGCGTTGCTATCGCATCTTAAAATAACTAACAGACTTTAAGTTATTAAGTTATTTTAAAATTTTTACATCCGTAAGACGTTTGAACATTAGCAGTCTCATTCCACATAAGCAACCTCGACCGTCAGAGCCCAACTATTATACAACAATCCTAAAACAATCTAACAACAATATTACAACGTATAAAATTTTACAATAATCTTACCTGGTACAGAAGCTTGGATCCTGCTTTGAGAAGTTTGTTTCTGGACGGACTCTCGTAGTAGATTATAAATTTGTCCTCGTACTGGTCACTCTTAACCTGGAAATGGAAAAGTACTGGTCACTCTTAACCTGGAAATGGAAAAGTACTGGTCACTCTTAACCTAGAAATAGAAAGGTACTGGTCACTCTTAACCTGGAAATAGAAAATAAACTTTTGAGAATAATAAACAACAAAGAGCTGAAAAAGTGGAGTCCTTTTTAATAAATTGAAACAATAGATTTTGAATCTGATGCGGAGGTGAGGCATATTTTTTACATGTGACAGTTATTCTGAGGTTTGATTGGTCACGTGTCAAAAAATATGCCTCACCCTCACCAGAATCCACATCACATATCCAATATCCATCTATTAACAACATGATAATGTGGTCGAACACAAAACCTACCTCACAATCTCCGTCGAACACAAAACCTACCTCCACAATCTCCCGTGAAGGAATATTAAGAAGCTGTCTCACTGACTGGCTACAGTTCTCAGCTCCGGAGAAGTCGTCGAAGAACTCTTTCTTTTTAAGATCATACAGGATTAACTTCCGTTCTGGTGACACAACCTCTTTGCAGTTGCTTGTGTAGAATGCGACACCTGTAGTAGTGTTGTAGATTAATATGCATGAGTTGTAAGAGTTGGTGTTTGAGTAGTTGTGTGGGGCCTAGTAGTTGTGTAGTTTGTGGCGCAAGTTTATTCTTAAATAGTTTACTTGCCATGTATACATTTTTTACACATTCTGTAGTTCCTTCGCAAAGTTGCATAAATTGATTTGGTCATAATTAGCCGGAAAGATTTATTCATTTTCACGAGACTGAGCTAGGGGTGGGCAAGAAAATGCAAATTGTCCAAAATTTTAAACGGCCCTGTTTTTAGGTAAAGTGACCTCCAAAATGCTAAAATGAAAAAATAACTTGGTTTAGGGTAAAAAAGACTATACTCGCCATTAGCCATTTAAAAAACATGACATAATAGTTATATTGTTATGAATATTAGGACGCAATGAAACAACCGGATCACGATGCATGGGAACTTGCCAACCCATGGCAACATTAAAATATAACATTATAATATAACGAAATTGAATCATTACATTTTGTGTTACCTGTAGCGTTTTGTATTTTTAGCTTAAATATTATAACATTCGTGAATTTTAATCTTTTTACGTTGTATTTATTGTCGTGGCATCAATTTTTCTTGTTCAAATGCTAGGGTAACACTTTTTAGTTTGCATATTATGATTAATTCTTATAGGATTTACTTTCATTCAATCATACTGATTATATTTCATTTATTGAACGATTCTTTTTATTTTTAAGTGAAAAATTACGATTTTATTCACATTAATTTGTTACCTAAGGTAGAAGACGTGTGACATTTCATACACCGATGGATATAAAGACAAAGGTATCTTTAGGGCTTCTGGTGATAATGGTATTCACCTACTGGATCTGTTATAATCATGGAACTGAGGAGGAGAAGCAAATATCAGTGGAGCAGCATTTCATGAACCTTCTGTCTTTTGCATTCAATGCAGTTAAAGCATTATGGCGACTTTTTACTCAACTTTGCCGTCTATCTAGTGACATTGAATAACGGTGACATGTAACCATGTATTTACTTCTGCACTACAGTTTCTCGCTAGATGTAGTTATCATTTTTTATGTAATCTTTGTATTTCGAAGCATTTGAAAACTGATTTGTGTACGATAAACTCTCCTGAATTTTCTGATTATAATCGATTGAAAACAATCAAATAGTAATTGATACAATTTTGTATCTTGCTATTATGAGTTAAGTGTATAGTGTATACCGAATGTGCCAACTGCCAGGCACAAAACCCCAAAACCCCAAAAGGGACCGAAGATTTTGCTTGTAATGCAAACTAGTTCTACTTTCATGGAACTAAGGAGGATAATTATCAACCTTAATAATCTCAAGAAATCCGTGTGTGTGTGTGTGTGTGTGTGTGTGTGTGTGTGTGTGTGTGTGTGTGTGTGTGTGTGTGTGTGTGTGTGTGTGTGTGTGTGTGTGTGTGTGTGTGTGTGTGTGTGTGTGTGTGTGTGTGTGTGTGTGTGTGTGTGTGTGTGTGTGTGTGTGTGTGTGTGTGTGTGTGTGTGTGTGTGTGTGTGTGTGTGTGTGTGTGTGTGTGTGTGTGTGTGTGTGTGTGTGTGTGTGTGTGTGTGTGTGTGTGTGTGTGTGTGTGTGTGTGTGTGTGTGTGTGTGTGTGTGTGTGTGTGTGTGTGTGTGTGTGTGTGTGTGTGTGTGTGTGTGTGTGTGTGTGTGTGTATGGTTGAAATTTCCGAACGGTTATACAAAAAAACGGTAAGAGTTACGGGACTGGTTTTGCCGACAAAACTCTGACGAAGCCAATAAGCAAATTTTATAAAAATCGGCCGGTGGTAAGTGGTTTAATTGATGGTTTTGTACCACAAATGTTACATAAAATGGCTTGAGCAGAACGGCAAGAGTTACGGGGCTAGCTCTCTCTCTTGTTGTCGTATATATTACATGGTCATGTAATACTATAAACTTATTAGGGGAGGAAGAGCTCAAACGGTCTGTTTGGACTGTAGAGAGATTTCATACTTTCATACGACAATGTAATGCATGTTCACAAATATGATAGGCGGGTGTGGTGCATGGTGTTAAGGGTTAATTTCTATTGATTATTGTTTAAGATACTATCTTTTAAGGATACTATTGGATACGTGAGGGCACTCTGAATAGAATTGCTCGCCTTATCCGGGTTTTGAGTTTTGACTCAGCGGGTAATTGCTCCTACCCTTTTTAACTGCGGCAGTGAAATCCCGGTCGAAGGCCAGGTTACACTAGTATATCATACAAGCGACATTGGATGAATTTACTGTCTGTGGTCCAGGCACTCTTTTGACTCACTAACTCGAGAATCAAACCTTTTACCTTTAATTATTGCATGAATTTAAGAATTTTCAGGAATTATGATTATTACCTTCTATTTTTACGTTGCATTGGATTCTATGCAGTGACACCCAAGTCCCAACCATGTACGAACAACTTAATTATACCTTCTCGTTAGATGCACTTATGATACTTCATATGTTCACTTTTAGTGATTCAATAATATTTCAAACATCTGAAAACTGATTCATATAATTATCTTAAAATCTGCTGAATGTTTCGAGTTTCTTGTTTAATTTGTTTGATAACACCTCATACTCATAGTAATAAGTATTTCATCTTGATATTATAATGGTTCTAATAGTGTATGATATACGTATCAGGTACAAAACTGTGCATGGAAGAAAAGCAATTGTGAGAGACAAGTATATGACATAGTTTAGTTAAAAATATAATTCGTCTGCAGCATAGTTTGAAGAAATGTACAGTTCGTCATGACTTGCACCTACAGTCTTTGCACCTACAGTCTTTGCACCTACAGTTGCAGTCTTTGTAGCTACAGTCTTTCAAGATTCTGGCTGCTTTCACGATAAAGAACACGTTGTTTCTTAGGCACCTAAACACTATGCACATATAAAATGATATTTATATTTCATTATAATTATCTATATAACTATTGTAACCCGGCTTTCGGCCGGGATTTCACTGCCGCAGTTAAAAAGAGTAGGAGTATTTACCCGCTGAGTCAAAACCCGCATTAAGTGAGCAATTTTATTCGAAGTGCCGTCACGTATCCAATAGTATCTTAAACAATAGTATCTTAAACGATAATTAATAGAAAGTAACCCTTATTAACTCCGCACCACACCCGCATACTTGAAAACATGCATTACATTGTCGTATGAAAGTATGAACTCTCTCTCTACAGTCCAAACAGACCGCTATGAGCGATCCCTCCCCTAATAAGTTTATAGTATTCATGACAGTGTAATTATGATATATATACCAATGCTACATAATATGCAGTAATGAGAGAGAGAGCGAGCTCCGTAACTCTTACCGTTTTCTTGTTAAGCTGCTCAAGCCATTTTATGTAAAATTTGTGGTACAAAACCATCAATTAAACCACTTACCACCGACCGATTCAAAAAACCTTTACCATTTGGCTTTGTCAGAGTTTTTTCGGCACTATACCGAAAAAACCAGTCCCATAACTCTAACCATTTTCTTGATTAAGCCGCTCGGAAATTACACACGCACGCACACACAGACAGACAGAAAACACACATTCTGAGATTATTGTTTAAGATATATAGACACAGGACACCAAACTTACCCAGCTGAGTACAGGGACTGTTACACTGATAGTTATAGCACGTGTCGGACAAGAGTGGGATTGATATAGTTCTCGAGAGAGTTCCAACAGAGTTCCATCAGAGTTTAGGATCTAGAGGAAGAGGGACTTCAACTAAACTTGACCTCAAAGGTACTGAGACTGGTCCGTTATTTAACCCGTACGTGAGCTCTGAGGGCTTCGGGGTGTAGTGAAATTAAAAGGCTTTAGCCAGAGATTTTGCCCACCACGTACGACCTCTCTTCTCGCGATCACATACATCCTTACCCTTACTGATACTTTAATTGAATTATTGGGCGACACTGCGAAGGCCATAAATTTATTGCAATACACAGTCGAATGAGATGAACCTTTCAGAGTCATTCGTTACTCATATTTCGTGTACTTCTGCTTGTACATTGTACGTACATTGATAGGCACGGCATTTATCTAGTATGCACATTATTGCAATTTTCCAGAATTTTGTTTTGTTAATTAAACATTTATTATATCATTAAATTAAACCCTGACTCGCAAAGTATATTTTAGTGCGGCCTGTCCTAGAATTTGTAGAATTTGATCATTTGTTTTATCTCATCATGATACCATCTACCATTTATCATTCGAGTCATAAGATTCAAATTTTAGCAAGAAAGCAGAAGGGAGCCAGAAACCCAGCACACGATGGCACTGCTGGATACAGGTGTTAAGATGCTGTTTTCTGCTATAATCCTCACCACAATAATCTTCGTTTACATTGGCTACCACACGACTAGAACTGCGGAGGAGAAGACGATCTCATCGGATCAGCACATGATCAACTTCTTCCTGGTGCTTTTAGGTGCACTTCAGGCATTCGGGTGAATCGAAACCTGTTCATCAGTTCGGAATTCGACTGGAATAAGTAGATCTGACATTTGCAGTGGTACAGAGATGAGACAATGAGACATAATGGAATAAGACATAATGGGATGAGATCATTGTTGTTTATATCATGAATTTCAACTATCTTGACTAGATCTCCGGCATTATAAACCATACATTATTCAGCTTTAAACACATAATTAATATTATGATTAGTTCTGTATTCTACACAGTAGGACCCTCAACTCGTCCACAGTAGGTGTGTAGTGTACACAGTGGCGTAACGAAGGGCCTCGCTGACCCCGCCGTGGGTGCACCATTTGAGGGGGGCGGGGCGCCAACAGGCAACGTTACGCCACTGAATGTACACTCCACTTTCTAAACTTAGAATAACTCAGTCCACACTTTTCTCACGGAGACCCTCTTGATAACGGCGACACGTGTGTAATAGAAAGCTACAAATTATCTAACAAGATGATTACAAATTATAAAGGTTGTAAGTCTGAAACTTAGCACGGGGTAGTTAATTAAAAGCAGCTGGAACTGATTAAAAATTGCAGATTGGAGTTAATGGCCGTATCTGGGTTTTAAAAGATGGCAGTTTGTTTTTTTGTTTTTTTAGATGCAACCTGCCAAAACCCATGGTCCGTGGTGTGAGAGGAGTCCCAACTTTGCCACTCGTCAAGCTCTGTCACTGCAGAAGGCCAGCAGTCACCACTTATCGAGGTGACAGCCCTTAGTGACAGACACGAAGATAAGAGACGAGAGTCACCTCCCACGTGGACCACACGGCTTTTGGCATGTGCCGAAGCAACAAAATAGATAAGATGTAGCAATTAAAATTGTAGGGAGTCTTCTCTAAGCTAATGAAAGCACTTTTCCTCACGGACACACTACTGTTTACGACGACACGTGGGTCATAGAGAGCTACAAATTATCTAAAGAGATGTTTACGTCACAGAGCAAATTATAAAGGTCGTAAGTCTGAAATTGAGCACGGGGGTAATTAAAGGCAGCTGAAACTTGTTAAAAACAAATTGCAGACTGGGGTTAATGGCAGTTGCGTCTATTTTAAAACTTGGTGGTAATTTACTGGTAATTAACAGACATATAAATTGCACCTATCTGCTTAAAGCACGCTCAGTTCTTGAAGTTTTAATCGTAACCAGTTTGAAAAAATGGCAGTTTTCAGTGATGGCGGTGTCAGCTCGCCTGACATTTACATCGCAGTATCCTGTATCTGTGTTATCATTGTATGTACAGTCCTCAACTCCCTAGTCTTCGTTCACAACTTCAGAAGAAGAGCTCCGTGGCAAGAAACCTGTACCTCTTTCTATCTGCCGCAGATCTTCTGACATCGTGGGTGTTACTGGGGGCCAACTCGGTGGACTTTCTAAAAGAAAAGGAGGAGGAGTGCAGAACTAGCGACGAGGTGACTTGCAATGAAAGATATTTCTGGAAAGAAGTTGAAGCTACTCTTGGAATGAAACTTTTAACAGTCATCGGTTTGACCATGTCTCTTGCACCGGCTCACATCACAGCATTTCTGGCTGTGACACGTTTCCTCCAGATCAGATACCCTCTCAATCCATTACAGCTGAAACACGTGATAACATCACTTCTCGTGACATGTACCTGGGTTCCAGTGGTTGTTAGCTTCTTTATGTTTGATGTGAGTGACAGAGAGGGTTGCAATCCACCCGCTAAAAGCAACTTACTTGCGTTCGCGTGGACTTACTGTCCGCGGGTGCTGGGAATTGATATGAATATCTTCCAATACTTCTGGTTCATGATTGCCATTCCTGTAATTTTACAGATTGGAGCCATGATTGCATCAATTCTTACAATCACTGAGCTGGTTAAGGTTTATCTTAACCCAGTTTCAGAAGGTACAGCAAAGAAACATAACAGGATAAGAAGTTGTTCGAAGATATTGTTGACCAATTTGGGTAGCTTGATTCTTGTTACTATATCCGTGATAACAACATTTCAAGGTGAATCGAATGCGGATGAAGTTTCTGTAGGGGATGGTATAACTTATCTGATGTTCCAAACAGTTCTTCCTTCTCTTATCTCCACACTGAATCCCATTATCTACATGCTTCTTACCCCAAACTTTAAACTCAAATCAAAAATATCTGTTGCAGGCATCTCTACTACTACTGGAACAGTCAACAGATAGATGAACATTCTTCAAATGATTCTCACTGGCGCTTGGAGAACATAAAGAATTATCAACGCGTATCGATGTCATATTTTATTTGCGTATCAGGAACGAGGTTGATAGACACATCAGTTCAGCGAGTGTCTACATTATAAAGAAGTAAAGAAGTCCGCAATTATTATTAAATAATTAGTTAATTAGTACGCAATTATTATTCTTCCGAAATCACACGCAACACAGACTCGTAGGGCGTAGAGTTAATTTAAATGATTATTCGTTACTATCTGTAATTTCGACCAGATCAAAGTACGCACTTGCTGTTACAAAAGTAACAGACTTTCAAATACTAAATAAACTATATTTTCTTACTTTTACTTTTTAGCCTATTCAATTGAAAAATGTGTGGAGTCATCAAAAATTTGATTTATTTTATTCATTACCTTGTTTTCTTTCTCTGTCCTCCTTGCAAAGTATGATACAAGTTGCGATTTATTTCTTGAATAAATGATAATCATAATGATATCAATATTATGATGAAAAAGTAAGGGCCGATTTGGCGGGAAATTCAAAAGATCTATTCCTCAGTGTTTGATCTGCACCAATAAATCCTAAAAGAGCTACGAAGCGCTAATAAACGCGTAAAACCAAAAAGATCAAGACGACAAAATAATTTGAGTCACCCTGGCGTCACTGCCCCGAAAATGCTGTATCACAACTGTGCCACTCTTGTGCCACTCTTGTGCCACTCACCCTGGCATCGCTGCTCCAGCAGGTGACACAGACGAGTCGATGCAGTTATAGCGGGATGGTGTCTGGTGATGAAGGACCGAAATTTGGATGGATGTTACGTGGTATTATTATACTCTACAGCATTATTTAATATTTATGAGTATTATATTACACAGCGGTGGTTTCAGATTGATCATCTCACTCTTCGTCCCTTTATCGCGTCGTTTACTCTTTTTGATGAGCCATAAGCTTCATGATGGACGTAGTAATATGTACCAATTGTTGTCTTAATGTTGTCGTATTGTTGTCATGTCTTAGTGTTGTCTTATTGTTGCATCGGCATTCGTTCAAGAGGCTGTACCAACATTCCATATGGAAACCAGGTGGACTACTGACAATCTTACAGAGAATGAGATAAAACTTAAATGTCACACGCCTCTATTCAGTATTTATCTATTCAGTTCCTAGTTATTCATTTGACACTCCTACTACATGTAGGTATGTCCGTTACTCTCACAATAACTTAATAATTATATCACAAGGCCTATCCGGTGTGTGTTGATATTACATTATATTCTGAGGTTTCGTACACACAGTAGCAGGTGTTATGCTCTACAATTACGTTGTGTCGCTCATTTTAGAATTGTTATTGAGTAATATATTTATGTATTCAGACTGATACAGATTTTGATAATCACAAATATTTGTAACTTATAAATCTACCTCGTCTAGTCATCTCACTTGTCGAGTTTACTACGTAGCAAAGCTAGAATTTAACTCATTTAATGCTCCCATTATGTTTCGTAAATTAATGAGATTTAGATACTGATAGTAAGACTGTGGACGTGTAATGGAGGAAAGCGATGTGGTTAGATGGGTGAACTCTAAAGTGATAACACCTGTAACTGATGGACTCTCATCGACAGAGTTTCGTAATGGTACGTCGCATAAACATTCCACTGACCACAACATAAACTCAAATTAGGATCCTGTTCTTCTAAAATCGTACTGCAGAATAACCTCTTTTTTCTTTCTATTTTCAGTGATGAGGCTTAATGCTAAGAACCGTTGTAGTGCTAGAATTTGCGTTGTATTGTAGATGCTTTTGAAGCTCACTTTTTGTCCAGGAACTGTGCTGGTAGAATTGGCAGTCCTGCTATTACCACACAACGAAACAGCAGTCTCACCAACTGGCATGACCGATTCTATCCGCAATATTAAAACGTTTCTGGCATGTCTTGCCGAAGATGAAACACAGATTGATGTTCAGCCTTTAGATATATTCAGGTTATTATAGATATTGAGAAATTATATATTTTAAGCAACCACTTTTTAGCAATGACCAATCAAAACCCAGAATCAATATCACGTGTCAATATGGTTCACCTCCCCACCAGTATCCACATCTACAGACCGTTTTAATCTCATTAGTAGAAGTATCAGAGTCCAGTTGATCATGTTGTAGCATCAAAGTATTAATCGGCTATACTTCTGCAATATGTATAACATAATTTCAGAGGTGACGAAGAAGCGATAAAAACAGTCCTGGAAAAATTGTGCGACAAATATGATAATAACAATTCTGATACGACATCGTTTACGTCTTGTCCTGATGAAGACAACGCCCTGCAGGGTATATCTGAAGACACTGCACTAGATAATGCGAACACTGACACCCTTCTTGAGGCCATTGATTTGAGACCTGGTATTCAAGAAATCGTGGCACTGGCCTCTGATCAAGCGCTTGGCATTCAATATATTGTGGCCCCTGATCTGATGCCTGATGTGGATCTTGATGGTGAGTTACATCTTACTATTTTCACATACCTTAATCATATAACAATCGTGAACACCTTACTATTTCTGAATATGACAAGAACGTTGAGTATGATAGAGATGTCGACTTGTTAAGAAAAAATAAAAGCGATCTGTAAAAATTGGTTTATTTCAGCGAGACCAACGTTCATCGACAATATCATTATCAAGGTAAAAGAAAGTGACCCTTTACATGCTTTATGTGTGGACAAAAAGCGGTTGACACAGGACAGCAGAGTTTTCAGGGAGATGATTGAGGAGCAGTTCCGGGAAGAAATAGATATGACGGATTTTGAACCAGACACAGTGAGATTATTTCTTACCTTACTCGAAGATAGACAAGTTGATGACATCGAAAAGGTACACTTTAGGGAGCTCAATAAAATCTCTGAAGTCTTTGAAGTAGAATGGTTAAGAGTGAAATGCTACACATGGCTTTCCGGCAGGATGAACAGAGATATGTTGGATGAAGAGAAACATTTCGTGTTCGAGGAATGCTGGTATATCCTCAGGAAATGGCACTGGAAGCATTGTGATTTGATGGATGTTTTGATTGGTAAAATAGCAGCGGGTGACAATTCATCCTTTATTTTGAAGTATTTTCAAGAATTTGACAACCTTGACACAGTTCAGCTAGAACTGATGCTGAAACTTGGATATAGTAACAGTAAACTCTTTCTTCAAACAGTTCTAGATAATTTGATCAGTAAAAATGAGCTAGAAGAAAATATCAAGCATCTACTCCAGAAAATGAACCTGCCATTTTGTCATGAAGCAAACAATAAACTGTATACTGATATGTTGGATGCTATAGCCAAGCTACCAGATATATCAGCAACTGATTTGAAATTTATTTTAGTACTGACCACGGAAACGACAAGATTAACACGCTCACGAAACGATAGAATGCTGAAAAACAAAGAAACCAGAGTGATACTTGATACAAAGAAACTGAAGAATTTGCGAGATAACTGTCAAACATTGAAAGACGTATTAGATGCAGTGAGCAATGAACAGGTGTCGTCTATGTTGGTGGTAGTTGAAATATTACTCTGGGTTTTCTTGCATGATCCACCTAACGGTGACGAGATGGAAGCGTCATTCATCAGTAAACTCTCTGACATCAGTTGTAGTACAAGAATTCAGAAAGTACCAAACCAGTATCTAAATATGATAATATCTGCTCTAGATACCTCTCCGCTACAACAGAAAGAACAGCTCATTCAGCTATTGAAGAAGATGAAGAGGAATCAGAACCTGTCAACTAACATACATACTGTTTTAATCACAAAGCATGAAGAGAAGCGTGTTGACAATAAAAAGAAGCATTGCTTTGTCTTCAAGCATCCTCAGGGTTGTGATAGATCTGACTCTGAGTGTGGATTTATAGTAAAGTTTCGTAGACCAGTTAGATATTATTGGATAGGAGAACTAAGTATTGACGATAAGGACTATCAGGACTCAGGAATACACTATCACGGCTTTTCGTCAGCTCAGGACATATGCACGTACCGCCTTTTTGATGGTATTGGACCAGATAAAGGAACACCTGTACCTTCAATAGGTCACTGGAAGTGGTTTGAGAAGTGGTTACCAGAGTCTGACTTGAAAGAAAAACAGAAATGTTTAGCAATAGATATCAGTGATTATCTTATTGCGAAATGTTAATGATATGGAGAACAGTATACGGACGTGCATTCTGGTCTTACAATTGTTCTGCCAAACATTAACTTTATTAATAACTCTTAAGATTATTCTAATAAGATCATTAAACTGATCTAAGTATATTTTATAAATATCCATAACAAGCTCGAGAAGAGCGGGTTGCTATTATAATAATTTTTATTTCAAACCTTTAATATTATATGATTTTTTTAAAGTTTTAAAAGTTTCTCATTCAAATGATGAATTCGGTGTCTCAAGAACTCTCTTTAGAAATGACGATGCTACTGAAAATCTATTCGAAAAAACTATGACAGCTTATGTGATTCTTCCAAATAAGCAAAGAGTACCTCCGGTACGATGTTTCTGTTATCGGGGATTACCATTCACTAAATTCAAGCAGGGTAGGTTATCCACACTCGGAGCCTATCACGCGAAACAAAGGGCTAATCTAAACAATTATCCCGTAAAAGCACTAATTTGTGGGACATATCGAAGTGTGGGGTTTGTTTGGATAGGCCTTGTTATGAGCACTGGTGTGTGAGTGCTGGCTGATATTCAGCATTACCAGACTCCTCATTTTTATTTCACTACGTCCAGCTGCAGCCTTCAAGGCCTCATTCAGACTGTGATTTAAATTGTTAATTGTTTGCTTCAATTCTATTAATCAGCATTGCCTTTTTCTCTGTCTTCAGTTCTTATCGCAATTGTGTGTTTGTCATGGAGTATGGACCATGGTCATACTCATAACTAACATAATATGTACCTGCGTTTCTACCACCTAACAGAAAGTTGTCTAACCTTGGGGCGACAGTCCAACGAACCAGACTAACCTGGGTCAGATGACACAATGAGGTTGTATTATACACTATACACTATACATTATACACTATACACTATACACTGTATAATATACGCTGTACACTATACACTATACACTATACAATATACAGTATGTAGTATAAGATCTTGTGTTCCAACTTCCATGTTGTTCAATGTTCAGTAATTACTTAATTATGTGGCGCGATACACTTTAATTCAATAAAACACAACAGATCAGTATCACTTGTATAATAATAGTACTAGGCTGGCGTTTGAACGCGATGTTTCCATGATGTGTCCTTGGTATCGTCATTATATGAGATCAAGATATGTCCGTTTCAGCGCTGCTTTCTGTTTTCTGGCAAACGTTAATGAACTGAGTATTTTATGCATTCTCCCATTAGTTTTACTCATCAAATATTTACCGAATATTTGCATACAAGTTAGATCATACACTTCAGTTGATGGAGATCAAATTACACTCACTCGACAGCCATTGTACGAACTCGCTCTCCGTTTCCGTTGCTTTGTGAGCTTCTAGTTTTGCTGGAGTTGACCGTAGTTATTAGTATGCCAGTATTGTACACAGTTTCCAACTTAATATTACAGTAGTGTTATATTATACCCCACACGACATACCCCACACGACATACCAGTGCCATTAAATGATTCAAGTTTTCGTTATTTTAATTACGAGTTATTAAACACTCCGAGGGCAAAGCACATGAGAAGTTACACTTTTCTAGAGTTATTAAAATTATTCCGTGACGGAATATTGTGCAGCAAAAACAGAGTGTAGTGCAATTGTAATTGTGATACACTCTTTTGAGCTCCGAGTGTAACACAGATAAGAGTGCTGGGATATAAATACTTTAATACAATATGACAGTAAGTAGGTAATAACATGTTGCACTACAGCTGTTACTAAAGCTAGTCACTATGGTTACTGTGCAGTTCTTTCATTCAAATTTCTGATTGTTTCTGAATAGACTCAGTGAAGACAGATTCTAATGAAAATAAATAGCTGAGTAACGTATCGACATTTCTACGTCATACTCATATTCTGAAATAGTATTAATTCAATTATAACGATCAATATTTACATTTAAAAACTAGTTATTAAAGCTAGTCACTATGGTTACTATACAGTTACTGTACTACCTACACACACTGCAGTAGTTACACGGTTAATGTTACCACACACGCGAGTGTAACCCCTCCCCACAGTTATTAACTACACAGCTTATTTCTACTAATTAATTAGTAAGTAATTAACTATTTCTACCACCCCTGAATATCCTATGAACTGAACAGTAACTGAGTAAGCGCACTGGTAATCACAGAATGGGTCTATAATTGTGCTGACTTCTATTTTCACCTTGTGTTATTTATTATACCTTATATAATAATATATAATAGTATAATACTTACAACATGCCATTACTTGTGTTGTGAGAGTGTAATACACTGTTATTTTATACTTTATATTGTTACACACTAGTTACACACTATAGTTACACACTAGTTACACACTAGTTACACACTAGTTACACACTAGTTACACACTAGTTACACACTAGTTACACACTAGTTACACACTAGTTACACACTAGTTACACACTAGTTACACACTAGTTACACACTAGTTACACACTAGTTACACACTAGTTACACCCTAGTTACACACTAGTTACACAGTACCGGTTATCAACACACAATATGTTACACCCACTCGGAGAGGTTTAGTTTCTTAGTGCTAGTGTTATACAGTGCTTTTCTTGTTACTTTGCTGCCTTTTGCCGGACGATTCCAGTACGATTTACAAGCCTTTGTTTTATAAATCAAATATTTTCTTTCATCTGATAACCTATTGACCAGTTATAACAGCTGATAACATATTGACCAGTTATAACAGCTGATAACCTACTGACCAGTTAAATCAGCTGATAACATATTGACCAGTTATAACAGCTGATAACATATTGACCAGTTATAACAGCTGATAGTGATAACATATTTACCAGTTAAATCAGCTGATAACATATTGACCAGTTATAACAGCTGATAACATATTGACCAGTTATAACAGCTGATAACATATTGACCAGTTATAACAGCTGATAACCTATTGACCAGTTATAACAGCTGATAACCTATTGACCAGTTATAACAGCTGATAACATATTGACCAGTTATAACAGCTGATAACATATTGACCAGTTATAACAGCTAATAACATATTGACCAGTTATAACAGCTGATAACCTATTGACCAGTTATAACAGCTGATAACATATTGACCAGTTATAACAGCTGATGAATGCACAGTACCTGAAGTTGATAACAGGAGTACTCACAGTCTCGTCTCTAGCAATTAACGTGTGGGTATTCGGGGATAGCATGGACAAAGAGAACAATTGGATGACAGAGAAACAACAGGATGGGCTGAACTTTATACAGTTGTTGATGGGGCTGGTGCAGTTATTTTTGTTTTTCAGACCAGCCCGGTAGTACTTATATATAGTGGATTATTATAGGCAGATAGGTTATTGTTCTAAATATAGATTGTTGTTTACATCAGTTATATGATAATGTATGCGATTAGCTTTTATCGTTTTTCTTACGCTTTTTAAAATTTGCAGAATGGTGGGGAATGTATGCTTTTTAAATTTCTCGAGATCTTTCTGGATACTGGTGGATTCTATCTTTCTTGTATGCTATTTTATGTACATGAATAATTGAACAGTTATATTATGTATTTTCGAACTATCATACTTCTTTTATTTGAAATTTAACCATGTTATAAACACATTTGTGCTAGGAATTTAAATGAAAATAGAATTGAGGATTAAGTTTCACGGTTTCCTTATGGTGAAATGTTGCGGTATACTGACTAAAGTAACCAGTCTATTTATTCAACCTCGTCATGAATCAAACAAATCCATAAAGTATAAATATAGCGTTAGGAATTATAATAAGCGTGTTGTTTTCATGAGGTAAATCGGTGTTGTTTTCATAAAGAAAACCGTCTAGGCTTGCCCAAACAAATAAAATATAATATATTCAACTTGAATAAGAATAAAGGTGTACCATAATATCAGATAACACAATTTGTTTGTCATCTCATTGTGACGTGGCAACTGACGATTGGGTGGGAAGAACTCCCGAACTCCGTTTGGCTGGCATGGTTACTAGCAACGCAAGGGACGACACGTATGTTATAGTTGCTAATGCTCGTTACTCTGCATTAAGTCATAAGACTCTGTGACCAAGTTTGTCGGGCTATTACACATACCTTGTTTTGAAATTGTTTCTACGTTCCGTCTGAATATCGCACCACCAAATAGGTAATGGTATGTACGATAAACTTTGACTTGAAACAATTTTTAATTGATTTCCATTTTTGAACCAAATCAAAAATTTACTCTGGCGGTTTGGCAGTTGTTTTATCTTTATAACTTTGACTAACTTGTCAGCTAAGTGTTTTGGTACTATATCTTTTTCTTTAATTCGAAAATAACATCAAAATTCGCGAACTTTAATCTTTTTACTTTGTATTCATTGTCGTGGCATCAATTTTTATTGTCCAAATGTAAGGGCAACACTTTTTAGTTTGCATCATATTATGATTAATCCTTATAAGATCATACTGATTAATGATTTAAATTTATCGAACGACTCTTTTCATTTTTACGTGAACAAGTTTTGATTTTATTCACATTAATTTGTTACCAAAGGTAGAAGACGTGTGACATTTCATACGATGGACACGATGGATCCTGATACAATCCTGTACTATGATACAATTAGAAACCAGAACAGAGAAGAGAGTGAGAGAGAGTTTAAGAAACTTGTAGTATCTTCAGTGCTACTGATTATAATGATATTGAACTACGTGTACTATTATAACTATGAAACGGAGAAGGCGAACCAAATATCAGTGGAGCAGCATTTAATGAACTGTCTCTCTTTTATATTCAATGCAATTCAAGTATTTTATTGACTTTGTACTCAGAAATCAAACGTTTTATGAATTCAGAATTCAGAAAATTGTATTTTTTCTAACTTTACCATCTATTTAGTTACATTGAATAGCGGTGACATCTAACCATGTAAGCATGTACTTACTTCTGCACTATAGTTTTTTGCTAGATGTAGTTATCATTTTTTATATAATCTTTGTATTTCAAGCATTTGAAAACTGATTTGTGTACGATAAACTCTCCTGAATTTTTTGATTATATTCGATTGAAAACAATCGAATAGTAATTGATAAAATTTTGTATCTTGGTATTATTTTCTTAAAGTGTATACCAAATGTGCCAACTGCCAGGCACAAATTTTTGCTTGTAATGCAAACTACTTCTAGTATCATGGAACTAAGGAGGACAATATATCA